AGCACGACGAATATCAACTGAAAACCCAAAACAAAAACGGAGAGGGTTGAGCAAAAGCACCCATCAAATCAATCATACCACCCATCCTGCAGTCCATCCAAAAACGCACTCTCAACATTGATGAAGCTCTTCCAATAATCCACCTCGAGTCTCCAAGGCTGGGTCTGGATGGCAAACGTTACTGCCGAGGTCAGCAGGAGAAGCTCCTCCTCATCTTCCGCAAGTATAAGGACCATATCTCGTTTGATCACAACCTTGTCGCGCAAAACTTTCTTGTAGGGCTCAAGCCGCTGCTGGAGGTTGTGATGCATGCTCCAGTCAGAGAACGGCATGTCCTTCGGAATGAAGCGCCACGACCATGCTCGTCCTATCTCATCGATGAACGAGGTCCAGAGACGGTTATCATAGCCAATCATCAGTGGGTAGAAGTGCGAGCCAGACCACACTCTGAGAAAGGAGAAGCGCGCGTTTGGTTGGCGAGCGGCGTGGGATTTAATCTTGTTACGTAGGAAAGGGATTGAGATTTTGGCCGGATCTTCGCGCCCAGGAGGCATGTGGATTTCATGCAACATATTGCGGAAGTCGATGAAGAGGTCGAGAGGCCGGTCCATTTCACGAGCAGCGAATGCTTGCCCTGGGATCTGGTCTACCGGTTCATAGCATAGGCAGATGACGCCCTCCTTGAACACTATATTCTATTAGCCTTGAAAAACTAAATGACTTCGGTTTCGCACTCTTGGCCGGTTAACTCACAGTGGGCAATATTGGGCCGGAGCGCTACGTCCCACTCCGGGGGGGTCTCATCTAAGAGGTGCGTCTGATTTTTCTGGCATTTCCCCGCAAGTTCATCAAACTCCTCAAAGAACTTATTGCCTCTGGAGGTGGGACAGCGATAACCTCTCCTATCTGGAAGTGTTTGGCCGCGTTCCGCCTGCCTGAAAAGCATCGACTTTCTAAGCTCGTCCCCTTCCGGACCGTTGTCAAAGAAAACATTTCCGGCTTGGAAAAATAATGAACTCATTAAGGATGCATATCGCGCATCTGCTTGTACCCTCGAATGAGTGCCTGGGTGGTAGTCCAGAAATACCAGCGGTTTCCACCAGTTTGCTACTGTTGCTGTCATGTAGGAGATATTTGTATCACATTTGGAACGGATCTGGAGGAGCTCGTTCCACTGGGAAAAGCCATGTGGCTCCAGATCCGCCCGGTGCCAGGCTTCCTTGAAAACTACAACGAGTCAGCAACAACTATTTCGTGCTATTTTGTGCTAACGAGTGGGGCGTGTGCATATTTCCGAAAATCATCGCTGTGCCACCTACTTTTGGCTTTCTGGCGCTCCAGAAATTCCATAAATTCAAGTCGCATGTCGTTGCCATCTTCTGGCCCGGGTCCGAATGTTTCCAGGAGGTCGTCTGCCTTTTCAAGTGCTCTGAAGAAATCGTCCACAATTTCACTTGACGGGTTCCTAGTTCATGGATATCAGCATGCTCCCTACGTTAAATAGTTCACGCTTCAAGAAAAGACACAGAAAGGGGTGGGAATATCATACGAGTCTGGTACGTCACCACCGTCCTCGCTCTCCTCGTGTCCACCTTTAGCTTTAGCTGTATCTTTATCCGATTCCTCCAGCTTACTCTGCCCACTTTGATTTAAGCTACTATCCGAAATTTCAGAACCCACCCACTCGTCCTCCTCATCGTCAGAATAATACTCATCAGAGTTAAAATCCTCGGAATTATATTCATCACTCTCGAGATCATAGGCGAAACGTTTAACATAATTCTTGATTCGCCCTTGTTCGAAATCTGTTAAGTTGTTTCTCATCGCCCTCATGCGATTCGACGTTGCCTCGCCCGTGAACTCTTCAGGGAAAAGGATAGCGTCCTCCAATGCGTCGGCTTCATTATATTTCATCTGGCTCGGCAAGCCTGTTCCGACTTTACCTTTAGAAGTGCGGAATCGAAATATTGTATCCTCTCTCTCATACGCATCATGGACACTTTCAGCCTGCTCTCCAGGCTTGATATCTCGGATCCGATAAGTTTTAGGGTCCTTGGTAACTGTTTTCAAATAGGGCGCGGAAGCCCCGAGAATTTGAGCTGGCCGAGTAACGCGGTGGGATTTGTATAACATCTATTAAACGTCAGCGAGGGTGAATTAAAGTGAATTACAAATGACAACACGAGACAAACCTCAATTATGCCGCCGTACAATGCCTCAAACGGCTCTCCGCATGTGGAACTCCAGATGTATACGTCGTAAAAATCATCAAAGCCAAGCCGAAAGGCCCGTCGACGCTCCATCTCGTTGAAGAACGCCTCATCAACTCGCTTAATTACATTCCATGGAGCCTGAGAACCCCGCCTATGGCCAATCTTTTCGCGGAAGAGCCAGGCATTGTCGTCTGGGGGCTTCACGAGTATTTTGCCAGTTTTACCATCCCGGACGACGAGCATCATGCGGGAGGCTTGCATTGATACATATTGAAGACACCTGCGAGTGACAGGGTTGCTACGTTTCATCTGAGCGCATATGTAATTTCTCCCCTCCCGAACAACATGGTTCCTGCGGCGGCCTATGATCCTTTCCTCGCCTATTGTCAGTGAACTTGCCTTGGATTCTATGTAAAATGGTATGAAACCCTAAAAAGCAGTTGAATCAGCTCTTATATTCTCTTTAGCAAACGGGGAACGCAAACTTACCATTTTGAGAAGGGCGCTATGCATGGCATGGCTCGTAGATAGTAACCATGACGGTGACGGGAAGTAGTTATAGCTAGCCAGGATATTCAGTTCAAAGAACTCTTCCCATGATTTGCAAAGTTCCACGGCTCTGAAGAAATTGCAATCTTTTGCGATGATGCTAAAATGCAACCAGCCCCCGCGGGACATGGACTTAGTGCTAGGGTAGTTGTAAATATGCCGGCCGCAGAGTTTGACTCGAATTTTCTGTTGAATACGACTGTCCTCACTATCCAATTGCCCAAAGTCAATTGCTGAGCCCTGTCCCTCTCCTGCACCACCTGCATCCAGGGTTTTCTTCCGCCTCTCTCGCTTCGCGGATATTTTCTTCTCTCGCTTTGATTGCCATTTATCAGGGATATTATGCCGTCGATGCGAGCGGCGAACAACCCAATCATCGTCAGTATCATCGTCATCCGACTCCGGTTCCGGCTCCTCTTCTTCATCAAAATCGGAAAACTCTGCACTATCAGTGTCACCGCGAGCGAAATCCGCACACGCATCACGAATATCTTGTAGCTCTGGCTGCTCCAGTTTCAAACATATATCCCTCAGGCCGTTTACGGTCACGTCAGGATCATTAAAGAAGTCGTTAATTGTAGAGGAGCGTAGAGCAGCTGGCAGGAGAGCAGCATTCCCCAGCAACAATCGGCAAAAAAGGTAGTTCTTAATCTCCGCTATATCATCCAATAGGTGGTCAACTTCATCAGCTGGGATAGGACAGATCCGATCCGACGTGACTTCCGGATTTTCAGGCGTGCCCTTCATCAGAAAAACAGCACCATCAAGTTTCATTCCTTCAGTAAGTCGGGCGCCCATCTGTTCACGGCTTTCGATATTTTCGATGTTTGAATCAGAGTTTCCAGTACATTTTTGGCCAGTCGCCAACCTCGTTTCCACCTCCGCAGCGGTTGGATGATTACCCTTGCCCTTTTTGCCTTTCCTCTTATTTTTAGAAGCGGCAGTAGGAGGCATTTTCTGTGTAGCTGCTGCGTCGTCTTCTTGGGTGGAAAGTAACACTGTATCCGTACTGTGGGTATCATAGTTATTATCCAGTTGCTGTGGCACGGCGCCATCCCCCGCACCAGTTTCCTCTGGGTGCGTGTCTATTAGCCAAAGGAAGTGCTCGATCAAACTAATATAAGTGCCACGCTCGTTGTCGAGCACATCTTCAATCGGGTCCCAGGATTCTGCGTCTTGTGCAACTCGCTCCTCGTACACCTTTTGAAGAAAGTCATCCTGTTGTTTCTTCTGTTCTTTTATACGTAGTTCACGCATACGCCGGTCAACTTCCTTCACCTGTCTCCTAAAGAGTGCGGCCTCTCTTTTAATTTTCTTCTTCTCATTCTCGCGCATTTTTTCTTCCTCTTCCTGGCATTTGGTTGTCCATTGGAACCACTTGCGTTTCTTATACAGTACCTCTGCGGTTCGGCGAGTGACTCGTTCCAAGGCCGTGGCAACAGTTACCTTTTGCTTTAAAAGAGCGTCTAGATATTTCTGGTGGCCGTAGTCCATGGCCTGGGCGTAGAAATGGCCATGATGGAGTTTTCGGGCTTTGATGACACGGTCAAGCAAACGATATGTCTGTAGCAGGTGGTCATGGATTTCTGAAAGTGCACTTTCATTCCCAAGGTCGTCAAAGAAGTCATTGGCAAGTTTGGCCGATCTTTTAGCCAGTTGTTCAGGCGGACAGGAACGAAGCTCATCCAACTTCGCGTTTCTAGTTTTATAACCCATATAGAGGCCTATACATACATCATCTCAGATGGGTCATCATATTATATATTATTTTCCCAGGCATGGATTTGCAACATACCATGACACTGTCTAGAGTGAAAGGGACAAAACAGGCCATTAGAGGACGTTGCAAGAGCCTCACAGGGCTTCTCATCCACAAGGCTTAACGCGCTGCACTTTTTGTCGCCATTGTCCACAGAAGCAAACTTCTCAAGATCCCTACTTAAGGTAGACATAGGATTGATACTGCAATGCTAGATGCAAGCTACCTTGGTGGGGGGATAAATAAAGTGAGGAGCCAACGAAAAGAGCCACACCAAGATGGTTCAGATGTAGTCATGCATATACAAAATCAATATATCGAATACAAATTGCAATTAAGCAAGTAAAGAACGAATTGTATCTCCAGGCAAGTATCTAGACATGCCTGCCTGTGTCTCATTGCGATAGATGTTGCAATGCGTTGATGTGCGCTAAAAGGTGGAGATGCTCTGGTCCCGTGACTTCGCGATGGTCGACCTCGTCTTTTCTTCCTTCTTCTTTTCTTCTTCTTTTCTTTTTCTTTATCTTCATTCGGTTTTCCAATTTCACGGATATCTCCTTTTCCCTCCCGACAATCAGACGTTATTGTTAACGACGGGGCATGCGATTGTAATCCGCCTTCCCCTCTATATGAGGAAACCACTCAACGGCTTTCCATAGTTTTATGCTAATCCAGCCTAGCCTGGGTCCGGATTTCTCATACTCGCTGTTCCTCAAATGATAGAAGACTCCAAACAGCTGGGAAATGGAACATCCAATATTCGGATTCTTAAGATCCTCCACAATCATTTATTCTTATCGAGTTTTCCAGCCGAACCTTGAGAAACCAACCTCGACGATGACTAACCGTTTCAAGGTTCTGTGTGCTGCCAGGAATGGCCCATGACAGGTTACCCTTGCCAGCCTTTTGAGCTCGTCCGATTGGACAGCAACTAGCTCAGCAATGACGAAGGTGCCGTGACAGAATGAAGAGCATTCCAAGGAACCGGTTTTCATGCAACATTTACCTCTGCAGCCTCCATACCTGCGCTGCATAGGAATGATGTATGACGAGTCTGACCTCACGATGTCTGACCTGCCATTGCCTCAATCGCCATCCGCCTGGTTTTGCCTCCATCAGTCCAAGAATCTCTATCTCTATATATTTACATATATATAATCAGGCTCCAGGCTCCTGCCTTTTATGCCCAAGGTGTTTATATCTTTTTACTCTATTATCTCCATATAACTATTATCTCCTCTTTTTAACTTCTGGAAATTGGATATCGACAGTTCGCCCGTCATGATTGAACCAACCAAACTTGATGCCTTCAGGCCCCTGTCTACAGTCGGCCCGATCCCGACTGTTATCCCGAACGAGCCAATCTTTCAAGAAATAGGCGGCACGGGCCATCGAACATTATGGTGCGTCTACTTCACGAAGATAAAAAGAAAATAAATAAAATACAGCACGTATCCTAATGATTTTACTAGGGTGGTTGCAATCCTTATGCTACTGTCCTCTCTTATTTTCTATATCTTAGCTGCTCGAGCACCGGTTGTAAGTTTCCCTTCAGAAGACTGGATATACATAGAGAATGTCCAGCTAACAAAGCTCACTCCCAGCAAAAACGCCTATTCCACGTCCTTGTCTCGTTAGTGACGACCATATCCTTCCTCGCTTATTTTGCGATGGCCACAGGCGGCGGAAAGGCGTATAACCATGTTATCATCCACGAGCACCACAAAAAAGCCCCCGATACCGTCCAACATATTTACCGTGAGGTGTACTGGGCGCGATATGTGAACTGGGGCTTGACGTTCCCAATAATTCTCATCATCCTGGTTCTTCTGTCCGGAATGAACGGAGCCAGCCTTTTGGTTTCCATCGCTGCGAACCTTGTCATGGTTGTGACTGGGGCCATCAGTGCATATGGAGGACCCACTGGTCGGAAATGGGCATGGTATACGATTTCGTGCTTGGCATATCTCACAATCGTGTATCAAATCGGATTCAACGGCCGCAGGGCAGTTGCATCAAAGGATAATAAGACGAAAACGCTGTTTGGGTCGCTCTCTGGCGTTGCGCTAGTTGCCTTGCTGGTCTACCCAATGTAAGTGTACAATAATAAACTTCACGTCTGGAAAAGAGACCGATGTTAAAAAAAATTATTTCAGAATCTGGGCTGCTTCCTCAAACGCTCGTCGCATGAGTATTGACGCCGAGGTCGTTACCTACGCCATTTTGGACATCCTCCTTCAGGGCCTTTTCGGATACTGGCTCCTCATCTCCCACGATAGCATGTCAGCCTAGTAAGTTATTCTTATTCCTTATGTTTCATCAATGTCAGGGTGTGGAGCTTACATTGCCGCGAAGTTCCTTGAATATGGATGGATTCTGGGCCCGGGGCGTCGGAACTGAAGGAACCATTCGAATCGGTGATGAAGAGGGATCCTAAGCGCCAGTATTTTTACGGACGTGAAGCAGGCTCGACTATTCGTGCCCACTAATTAAAATGTCCCGACGAACATCGATCTCGGGCGATATCTCTTGTATGCAGGCGCGGTAAGGCCTTCTAGGAAACTCTGACTAACCACAGGGGGCTTGACTGGTAGCCAAGTCTCCTCCACTCTCTTGCTCAATTCTCTTTTTTTTGTTTTGGAAGAATTATATGACAATTTGGAAATCTTCTCGCTTGTTTCCAATTGGTTGCCATCACAAAAGTACGTTTTGTGAGCATATTTGTCTATTGACAAGCTTATTTATGGTGCATTTTAAGGTATCTTTGGAAAATTGCTTAGCTATCGGTACCTAAATCGTGTCATCATGTTCAATATCTAGCGGGCTTAGCTATAACAATGAGAAATGTTTGGGAATCCGTTTTGTAGCTATCTGATACGTGCAACGTGGTGAGTGGCATGTAGGTGGCTACCAAGCGGATTAGTCAGCGCCTAGCCTTCTTCAGCGACGAAAACAACCTCCGCCGCTGCTGTGGTTTGACGTCCTCCTTGAATATATCCCTCGAATCTGCAGCGCATAGCATGTTCCCATCTATCTGCTTACCCTTACCCTTGTGCGTATTGTCTGCAGTTGCAGAGGATTTGGCAGCACTCGTCGGACTGCCCACAGACGCGTGAGGATTGGGATAGGAGAAATTCGGCGTGGCCACAGCGGTGTCTTTATGCGGAGCCGCTGCTTTTGATTTCCCGGCCGTTGTTACTGATACTGCTGTCGCTGTTGTTGTATTTGCTGCTGTTGTTATTGCTGTTGATTTTACTGAGGATGCTGAACAATATGCTGGCGTATGGCTCGCGAGCTTCTTCCTCTTTGACCAGTGGTCAATCAGCTTGATCTCGCCATGCTTGACCCGTCGAGCAGCGATAGCCTGTTGAGACAGAAGTTTCGGCCAAGAAACAACGACTTGCTCGCGCATTCGCTCCGGCAATGTAAAGCCTGCATCGACACAATCGTTCTTGAAACTGATCAAGCGGAGGCGGTGCGGGTTAAAGAGATGGAAGGGTTCCGCGTCGACGACAAAACCGGTGAGGGTGAGTTTAACAACTGGTAGTAGATTTAGGGTGCTTCCCATGCGAGCCGCGCGAGCCTTTGCGTGCACAATGGCGTATTTATCCAGGTATTCGCCGATACCGACTCGGCGGTGCAAAATACCTTTTCCATCGTCGCCACTGAAAGAGGAGAATATAAACACTCCTTAGAAATACTTTCTTTCTAGACTATTTTTGGAGACAGCTATTTGTTGAACACAAATGGCAACTTACTAGTATGAGCCCTGCTCTCCGTCGGGCTTTCTCTGTTGAACCCAGCCCCCCTTAATGTATGGCCACCCAGAAAAGGCGCGACGAATGCACGGCTCCAGCGCCATCTCCAGCTCCAACGTCTCAAGACCAGGGTTTAACCAAGCAGCCTGCCAGATGTACTTTTGGTATGATTGGCTCATCCCGGCGAGTTTCAAGAAACGCAGATTGCGGAAATTGCACAGCGGTGCTATCGCTTCGACAGGGAGTATGTCATCGTCATCATTGTCATCAGTGTCATCATCGTCCGAGATGGTGATCTCGTACTCGTCGTCAAAGGGGTTGAGTATTTCCTCCTTCGCTTCTCCCTTGCGCTTCTCACTTTCGTCCTCCTTTTTCATTTTACCTTTCTCGTTCCTCTGACCCTTTATTTGCTCCTTGCCCTTTCCCTTTTCTTTTTTCCTGCTTCCCATTACAGCCGGCCAGAAAAGATCAAGATTCAAGGTGTCACAGTTCAACTCGAACCGATTCCAGCTCTCACCACCCATAAACAAGTGGACAAAATCCCCGCTCCAGCCACTGTCAGTGGGCCGGCGTGTGGCAGTGGGCATAACCCCAGCCGGAACAGTAGCGTGAGCCAAATGGTTCGACGAGTGCAACGATGTCACTTGATTTCCAGCTCCAACAGCCGTGCGTTTCTTGCCGCTGCTGCTTCTGCTCCCAAACGCAGAACGCAGTAACCCGACGCTGCTGCAATTGATACTATCCCCATCCTCAGCGTCCCCACCATCATCGGCCTCGCGCGGGTTACGAAAGTGAATATTTCCCGCAAATTTCTTTGCTGGAATTGACGCGAAGTGTTCTTGTGCTGACATCATGCTTGCCGGTGCTGACGGTACAGGTGTGTTATCGTCGATGTTTAGGTTAACTTTTGGAGCTGGCCCGAGTCCTAGACACGCTGGAGCATCACTCATGCTACAACGCCGCTGCTTCTTAGAAGCTGAGGTTGAAATTGAAATCAACGTGGGTTCTCTTCTGCCGCTCTTTCTCTCCGGGCTCGTGCTCGCGTCCCTCATGTCTGATATGGTGATTTTGCTCCACGGGAAAGGCAGCAAGGAGCTTGTTGCAACTGTATTGTTTACCAATTAGTATCATGGACGGTATATATACTCTACACTTCAAGAAAGTAGGTGGAAACAACATGGTGCACGTCATAGAGTGAATTGAGTCGTATGCTTATATCAAGAGTACATACTCGACTGTCTCCTGGTTTCCGTGTCTCCGGCTCTTCCCCCTTTCTCCCTCCTTTTATCTTTATCTTTAGCTTTGGCCCCAATGTCGAGGTTGGGGCTAATACGATTCGTCGTGAAATCGATGTGGGCTCCATCGCCTTTCTCATCACCATCATCATTCTCATCGCTCGAGTCGCGAAAGAAACTCCTCCCTGAAACGTACCACGCCATGCTTATTTGACGGCCCTTGCTATGTCTATGTCACCTATGCTGGTTGTGTGTTGATTTCGAGTGAAGCTTTTATGGGTGATGTATGACAACAAGCATCGAAGGCAGAAATGGATTGCATCGAGCTAAGTTGAGTTCCAAAGAGCAATACATGTTCAGGGTGAATGGGTGAAGGTGTTGCTATAGTGACTTGCTTCTCCAGAGCTGGCATGTTGTTGTTCTGCTGGCGATGAGATGCGAATAGAGAGAAATCCTATATACATTCTGTTCTTCCATTTAAGAAATACTATCAAAATACTTCATTCTCATTGACTCGAAGTGACTAATTAACTATCCCAATGGCATATAGATGAATCCGCCTGCAATCGCAATATATGTTCCGTTCATAGAAAAAAAGGAACCTGAGATACATGTCGTACGATACGTATAGACGCACCATCCTTTGTCTGCAGAAAAGCTCATAGGATTCATTCAGTACAAACTGCTTAGACATTGTCTAGTTATGAATTCGCGGGGTCATATCCGTTGGCGCATTGCATATAACCAACCAACCCCTTGAGAAGAACAGATATCTAACCCATCAGCACTTGCAGCCCACTCCTCTCTCCGAAATACCATTGTCTAAATGGAAGCGAGATACATTCTGTCTCTATTTCTATCAGGGAATCCAATTTGTCTCCACGCTTGAAAACACAGCGCAGTAGCCGCTCGTAAAGGGGGCCAGCCGGGTAAGGGCCGGTTTGGCATTTGAGAGGGCTGCATGCTGATAAACGCAAAATGGTTGTCTCGCAGACGGTCTTAAAAAGACATATTTAGGCGTAAACAGGCAAAATAACCCCTCTCTGAAAAGCGCTGGACTCTGGTTCTCCTTGAATTGCATACGCTCGTTTGCCGAGGTGCGGAAAATTTACCAAGTTGAGTCGCTCCTGTTAATCGACCGTTGTCTGTGTTGCTCGGGAGAAGCAGAACGGGTAAACATTCATCTCCCAAGGTATACATATATATAATATCGAAATGCGTATCGCAAGAAGGGAGGGTAGAACACCAAGAAGAAATTAATTTGTACCCGGCTACTTTTTGTGGAATGCGTAGTGTACCTAATCAAATGCGATCATTTCTTCATCTCATGGAATCGTTTTTTTCAGAAATGTAATTTTATCCACATCCACGAAATTTCGACTCAATTGATAAACGAATCAATTAATTCGTAAAATGACATCAACGCAAAAAAACAAAGCACAAATAAGAAACGCCTAGTACTTCTTGCCCTCTCTCAGCACATCAGCAAACTCGTCTAGGGGACTTCTGATGAGTTTGGTCTCCTTCCACAGGTTAGGTGTTAGGAATCCGTAGGTGTTGGCGACAGCGACGAAGGTGGCTTTCAGGGTATTTTCGAGGGTCTTGGTGGAGCCGGAGGAGGAGGTATAGATGTCTTCGACACCGGCGAGCTGGAGGAGGCGCTTGACGGCTGGGGAAGCGACGAGGCCAGTACCACGGGGGGCGGGGATCAACTATTTTCATATAATGATTAATATCCATAGATTTACACCCCTTGATTTGCCTTTTTTTTCTTTTTTTTTTTCCCTCTTCACCCAAAATCCGATGTGATTGAAAGAATAATATTAAAACATACCCGAACAGTGACGGAACCGCACTTTCCGCTCTCCTTTGTGGGGAGCGAGTGAGGCTCACCGAGGTTGGAGCCCCAGTAACCTCTGCGGACGGGGAGAACGGAGAGCTTAGCGATGATAATGGCGGCACGGATGGCAGTCGCTACTTCTTTAGAGGTCTTGATTCCGAGACCAACGTGTCCCTCTGAGTCGCCAATGACAACGATGGCCTTGAATCGTGTGCGTTGACCGGCACGGGTCTGCTTCTGGACTGGTTTGATCTATAGATATTTACCATTGGATTAGCTATTAATCCATTTCAAGTCTCCGTCTTCTCGAATACAACCCCCTCCCCAATATATGCAGCTGGACATCCTCCCCCGAAATATAACTTCTGGGAATAGATATATAGATATGTAGATATATATACCTTCATAACCTCATCCTTCAGCTTGGGCAGGAAAAAGTCGACGATCTGGTATTCCTTGATGGGCAGCGAGTGCAGGTAGATCTGCTCCATGCTGCTAATCTTGCCGGCCTTAACGAGACGGCCGAGCTTGGTAACGGGCTGCCATTCCTTCTCGTCGCTCTTGGGGCCGCGACGGCCACGACGTCCTCGTCCACGGCCACGGTCACCACCACGGTCGCCACGCGAGCCGAAACCTCCACGGGCACCACCACGGGGAGCGTCAGCCATGATTAGTTGAACGAAGCTGGATTTCCGACCGAACGAACAGAAGAATTGGGAGAAGGGCGGGGGAGTTGGCGGTGGTGGGAGGTTGGATTGTTGTTTCGTCTCTCGTCGTCGTCGTCGTCGTCGTCGACCTTCCCTTCAGAATTGCTGCCGACAAACACACAGCGAAGGAACAAGCAGCGGGAGGTGTGATGCTGAGTCAGCGCGGCTAAGCGAGTTGGGCGAAGAAGTTCTGGAAAAACCCTAAGCCCTAAACCCTAAGCCCTAACGGAGCCGCCAGGCAGCGGATGCAGGCCGTGACAATACGGGATTAGTCACCCGCCAAGACTCACGATCTCCACCTCCCCTGCCAAATGCGGAGGCTCGGAGCTGCGGGTGGAAGAGTTGGATTTGGGGGAAGTTCTGGGGAGAGAGAATGCATCATAGAGACCACAGACTCCAGAGCCATGATAGAATATATAGCTGGGTGAGGGATTGAGATTCTATATAGTCATTCTTTGATTGTCTGTCCTTACTCCAATTGCTTTGATTTTAAAATGTTGCAGTGGTAAGTCCTCAAGTCTAGTCTAGATAGCAGCGGACCCTAGTGGCTACGGACAACCCATGCTAATAGTCCTCTAGGTATCATATTCAACTGGCAAGGCGGCCGCTGATTACCCAGAGCATTGGGAGCGCTGTACGTGTTTCAAATCTATGTCCTCATCTCAATCTCACGCTTGAGTAATTGACTCTTCTCTGAGCTATCTAGATCCTCTTCGGTGCTGGAGATGTCCTCGCCCAACAGCTGGTAGACAAGGTCGGCCTGGAGCACCACGACTATGCCCGCACTGCTAGAATGGCCTTGTATGGCGGCGGTAAGCCTGCATCCCATCCACCACTCCTTTTTCTCTATGAATCCTTTGGAGTCCATTTATCCCGCAAGTCAGTCAGTTGCATGTTCTAACAAGATCACAGCAATCTTCGGCCCCGGCGCCACGACCTGGTACAAATTCATGGAGCGGCACATCGTCCTGCGCAGTCCTAGACTCACCATCGCCTCGCGCGTCTGCGGCGACCAACTCCTCTTCGCCCCAACACACATGTTCCTCTTCCTCTCCTCCATGTCCATCATGGAAGGTAACGATCCGCTTGAGAAGTTGAAAAACAGCTACTGGTCCGGTTACAAGGCGAACCTGATGATCTGGCCGTGGGTGCAGGCGGTCAATTTCACACTGGTACCGCTGCAGCATCGTGTGCTGGTGGTCAATCTTGTTAGTTTGGGTACGTAATATCTTTTATTTTGTCTGTCAGAGTGGTTTAATGCTTCTCCGGGGATCCATTGAATATTCTCGTCGACTAATGGAATAAACAGGTTGGAACTGTGTCCTGAGCGTCATCAATAGCCGGAAATAGATTTTTATACTTCATTTTTAGATTCTAATGGGGAGGTTATTCATCTTCAGTCTTATTTGGTTGCATCTCTCACTTGGGCTGAGACAGTTTTGTTCTCCCCGTTCAATATCTATGGGCTGGCTTTGCTAGGAGGAAGTTATGAATTTATCTATAGATTTGCTATTGCACAGGCGTCAATATTTTGCTGTTTGTCTGGATCTAACTATGTACCGTATTTGTCGATTCTTGTTTAACTGCTCTACATATATGTACTTGCCTCCTGAGAACATTTCTAGAGACTTGGAGAGGGCGATAGCATTAAATCCTTTAGTTCATCTCAATAAAATTGATTGATTAACCTTCTCAGCTTCAGTAGGGTCAATATTAAATAAATATCTTGTTCTGTCCTCCGCATATTCAAATAAATAGTCAAATGGTTGGGGGTTTAAATATAATAGTTCAAAAATCCGGGATAAATATTTAAAATCCTGCAAAACATCCAAACTTCAGAGCCAAAAAAAAATTCCTCGACTTCAGCGCAACCAACCACCAACAAAGCAACATACCAACATACCAACAACAACCCTACAATCCACCATCTTCCTAGATTCTAATCTAATCCTCCTTAACTATTTACTCTGCCTGGCGCAGACCGCGGCTTTCTCTACTTTACGGGTCTTCTTCATCCCTCCCTCCTGACTGTGTGGCGTTTTACATAACTATCACACAAAAGCCTCCTCCGCCGTTCGAGCCTTCCTCACATCTCCTCCTATTTATTTATCCTTTTTTTCTGCCGGCTTCATCTCTTCTTCACTTTTACTTCTTCACATCTTGCGCCAGCTCACTCTGTAGAGATTCTCCATTCATCTCACCCCGCGCGCACTGGTTCCTCAACACTCCGCAACTCTCTCCTCGTTTCCCCTCGACTTCACCCACCATGGCTACCGCAACAGAGAACGGCGTCGCGGTCCCAAAACCTGCAAACGATGAGAATGCAGCCCCTGACGTTACTGGTGCTCAGTCAAAGCTGGGTGATACGGTTACTGTCTTTCACGACCCTAATAACTTCAATGTCAAGCACCCGCTAATGCATGAGTGGACGCTCTGGTTTACCAAGCCGCCAAGTGGGAAGGTAATTTTCTACAGTTTACCTCGAAGAAAACGGCTCGGATGTCTTATGCTGGCTGACTCTACTTTGTCCAGGGCGACAACTGGAACGAGCTGTTGAAGGAGGTCGTGACTTTTGGCTCTGTCGAGGAATTCTGGGGCATCTACGTGAGTTGTTACCGAAGATTGAAACACGGCAAGTTTAATATGTGCGTCTAACAAAAGGAACTCTGCAGAATAACATCACCCCTACCTCCGAACTGGGCCTGAAAGCCGACTACCACCTCTTCAAAAAGGGTGTCCGCCCGGAGTGGGAAGACCAGCAGAACAAGCACGGCGGAAAATGGTCCTACTCCTTCCGCGACAAGAAGAATGTCCCCATCGACGATCTCTGGCTACACGCCCAGCTCGCCGCGATCGGCGAAACCCTCGAAAATGACGAGGACAACGAAGTCATGGGCGTCGTTGTGAACGTGCGCAAAGGGTTTTACAGAATCGGCCTGTGGACGCGGACGGTAGGCAAGAGCACTCCTGAGGGCCGCCCGGCGGAAAAGGGCAAAGAGATTTTGCATGCTATCGGGCGGAGGTTTAAGGAGGTGTTACGGTTGAAGGAGGAAGAAATTTTGGAGTTCTCGGGACATACGGATAGTGCACACTCGGGAAGTACGAGGGCGAAGGCGAAATTTACTGTCTGAGGGCTGGAAGCTGGAAGTGGGAGGTGTTTTTTTTTTTTTTTTTTTTTTTTTTTTTTTATTATTATTATTTATGGAAAAGCGACTAGGTCAAATCGATGTGGAATAGTGGAGTTACTACATGGGCGTGGCATTATTGCCTAATGTTTTCTGTGTAACGGGATGGGATGGGAAGGGTATATGGATGGTTCCTACAAGGTGAAGGAGAACCAAAAGGGCATGACACGGCATGGCATGGCTTCAGTACCGCGCAAATGCATGCCTTCTCCATTTCTCTAAAACCTCTCCAATCTACGGGACACACTCGACTGCACGCCATCAGCTTTAATTCTGAATACTCTATCTACCAATTCCCTCCAGGTGGCCCCGCGGAATAATCATTATCCCAATCCCCAATCCCAATCCCAATCCCAAATGCAATCCGACATTATTTCGATTGATACCTTTTTATTTTCTATTTTCTATTTTATTTTTTTATTTCAAAATATCCACCCCTGTTTATCTTCCCCGTTTAGATTGCGTTTACAAAAAAGAATCCGCGTGTACCTTGCTCAGTTACCATGTGTTCTAATAATTTCTATATTTTTCTCTTTTCTCGCCCCGTCTTGCTTTTCATAGGCTGTAGTGCTTCATTTCCAGTTTCTGCTGAGTCTAGCTTTTATGTTCCTTGTCTATTTGGCAATTCATATACATCTTAATAGGTAACCCCAAGAAAGAGACAATATTATTTTTGTGTTGGTGAGGTATGTATTTGGTCAAAGCCAGCTGTATATGCGCAGACTACCTCAACACAACGTTGTAGCCATTCATTCAAGTCCGGGCTCAGAGTTATGGAATTGAATATGTAAACAACCATAACCAATAACAACAGGGAAATCAGACTTGAAGTTACCTAGGCCTAGCCACATATTTTCATCATGACGGGGGGAACATGAAAAGGAACGGAGGGGGGGGAAGTCAGTATTTCTTTCTATGTAGTATAATATGGTTTGGAGAGGCAGCCTTGGAAAAGCCCGTCTATCGTATAAGTCTATGTATTTCCTTTCTATGCGTCCATCCCATATTCCATTGATCAATCTATGAAAACACAATAACGGCGTGCATCGTGTTATACCGTGTGAAAGCATCGCATCCATCTTTCCCTTTCCTCTCATCCCCAATCCATCCATCCCGTAAGGGAAGAAGGAAAATGCAACGTATCACCTACCGCTTACGACTCTAGCAAATCCGCGAAAACCAACTTCGCCAGCAATTTCTTGTTAACTATCCCACATTATATCAATCAGTCAGCCACCCGCATATCCCTCCCTCTCCAGTACCGCAGCGGGCGTCGGAAAATTACATACCTTTGCCCATGGCATTGCGCGGTAAGTCATCCTCCAACACCCGTATCTCCGACGGAATCTTATACGTAGCAAGCTTCCCCTTAAGCGCACGACGCATATCCATTATCCCCCATGTTTTGCCGCCGTGACCGGTATTTGCGAAATCGGGGTTGAGGACGAGGACGGCCCCGACCTTCTGCCCCCATTGGTGCGAGGGGAGCGCGAGGACAGCTGCTTCTGTGACCTGGGGTCTATGCTACAGTTAACAAGTTGCAATGCCTACCTGTTGGAAATTATATGACGCGAAAGGAAGGGGGGAGGGTTGCGCAACATACAACGATAATAACTCCCTCTCAACCTCCAGCGCGCTAACCTTCTCACCACCTGTCTTGATGATATCCACACTCCTGCGGCCTTGGATGAAATACAACGGGCCGCGACACCACTCCTGTCCTTCCTCGTTCTGTCTCGCACCGGCACCAGCACCACGAACATGTCTGCGCACAGCCACATCGCCTGTCTTAAACCAACGTCCTTTTCCATCTTCATCCTCCGTAAACTCTTCCCTCGTCGCCTTCTCATTCTTCCAATACTCCCTGAAGACTGTCGGCCCGCGCAATTGGATTTCACCCACCCTCTCGCGCCCATTGGCGTCAACCTCCTCACCGGGTCTAATAACCTCGTTGGCGTCCGTGTCAAAAAGCCTACATTCGACATGTGGGAGAGGCCAGCCGACACTGCCGTCGACGCGGTCAGCAAAATCCAAACCGCAGCTGAGCGCCATGCCGACTTCAGTCATCCCGTACCGTTCTAAGAGGACATTGCCGTGACTAAGCTGCTTCCACGCGGCCTTTGTGGAGGTTGGTAGGGCGGCAGAACCGGAGACGTTCAACCGGAGGTTTGCCGGCGAGATGGCTGTTTGTGCTGCTCGTTGAGTTTCTGATGGGAGGGTTTTGTGAGTTGTTAGGAGTCTGTTGTATATTGTTGGGACAGCGGTTAGGAAGGTGATTTTCTCCCTGTTTGGTTTAGTATGATCGCTGATGGATTTGTTGGATGGCATGAATGGGGCTGCTAGTCGGTTCCAGACTGCGGTTGGGTTGAACGGGAACATGAACTCGATAGACGAGCCTGCTAGTAACGGAGTGAGAATGGCATTGACTATGCCGTGGATGTGATGGAGGGGGAGGACATGGAGCAGCCGGTCGACCGGTGAGTACTCCCATGCCTCGACCAAGGACCGGGCTTGCGCTGAGAGAGCGGTTTGGGGGAGGAGGACTCCTTTCTATTGTACGTGCGTTAATATATAAAGGTGCGGGTAGCTTTGTACATCCTGCCAAAATTACTCACAGGCCTATTCGTAGTTCCCGACGTGTATAGCATCATTCCACCCCGCAAGTCTGCTGCATCTTGAAAATGCAGTTGTGCAGTTGGACCAGCACCACTTTCGATCTTATCAAGTGTTCTCAACACTGGAGCATTTTCTAGATCGGTCTCGACTAGTTCCCGAGCTTTCTTGCTATATTTTTCCGTTGCCAGTAATACACCAGTCTGCGAATTGTCCAGAATGTATCTCAACTCTCCAGCTGGGAAGCTTGGTGAAAGGGGCAGGGCGATGCCGTCGCAAGCAAGGATGGAGAGCAGTGTCACTAAAGTTTCAAAACCATCAGCATTTTCCCACCCTTCAATAACGATATCCGGTTGTATACATCTGGTAATACTAGATTGATTGAGCTTGTAACAGTACCTACGTAGTCATAACTATTCTCCGCCAAAAAAGCCACGGGTGACCCGCGCAAAACTACATTTTTAGAGCTTGCAGCAGCACATTGCAACAGGCCCTCTTGGGAGCGCAAGACATCGCCAATTAAGCTGCCATAGGTGAAGGATCGGCCGGAGACGCTGTGAACGACGGCTATTGATTTCGGGTCGTGATTTTGTATGGCGCGGAGGACGGGTAGGTCAGGGAGGGTGGAGGAGAGGCGAGTTTGGAGGAGAGAGCCGGAAGAGAGATAAGCTCTGAGAGAAGGTCTCAAGGAACGGCCGCAAGATGCGCGAGTGAGAGATATTAGCCTGCGTGAGGTGAGCATGTTGGATCTTCCGAAGCATACAATCTGCGGAGAGCTTCTGGTGGTTGGTATAAATATAGCTTTCGGCCATGCCGCAGAGAACGAGCAAGAGGAATTGAATTATTAGATTATTGAGGAGATTATGTGTATATGCAGCTCGACCGAAGACATTGACGCCATCCTTCTCAATACAGAGGAATGTTTCTAGGGTGTGGACAGAGGAGCGAGAAACTGTGATATTTATTATAGGGATGGAAGATTGAAAAAAATGGTCGATGACTTTCGGGGGGGGAGAAATCCCGCCAGCGAAGAAAGGACCAAACCAATATTTAAGTATTTAACCACGAAACTGGTATCTTTTAACAAGCTCGATCTAACATTCTTAATTTCTGTCTTCATATGCGATTATTCTCCAAAAGAAACAATATCCACAGATACTCATAAACATACCCAATGCTCCGCTCCATTCTCCCGCGCCAGAATCATCTTCTGCTGCTAACCGGACAGCTCCGCTCCATCTCCAGCGCAACCACCATGTCGTCTACGCCGATGGAAGATGCCATCCGCGAGAAGGTATCAATGATATATTTCCATATCATATCTCTCAAGCCAGGAACGGAGAGACCGGCTGCTAACAATGATAAACCAAATCCAGCTCCAACAAACCCTCCAACCCTCCACCCTCATAATCCGGAACGACTCAAAACTCCACGCCCACCACGCCCCCATGCGCGGTAACACATCGACAGAGACGCATTTTCAGTAACAATCCCCCTACCTAACAACCTAACTACCCCCTTTCCCCCCTCATTTATTCACACAAGGGCCCGCCGCGATTCTAAACCCAAATAGCATCACAGTAACATCACCCTCGTTCGTAGCCAAGACGCAAGCCGCACGCCATCGCATGGTTTATGCCGCGCTGAAGGAGGAGTTGGCGCGGGAAGGGGGAATCCATGCCTTGCAGTTGAAAACAAGGACAGTGGAGGAGGAGGCGAGGGATCAGGAGCTGGGGACGAAGGAGAAGGAGGTTGAGGCGGGGGAGTGAGAGGGTTAAACGTGTGCTGGATGTGGATATGGATGTGAGTGGGTTAATATATCTATACATCTACATGAAGACGAAGTGCGCCGTCTTAACTGTAACAATAAAATAGCGAGCTATCTGAATAAACAACTGTATAGGAATAAATTCTACTCTTGGACCTGGAGCTCTTGCCATTCTCATATACAGAGGTATATTATATATATATAACTCGTTCCAGTCTTCCCGTTGGGTACGTGTCAAAGCTATAAAATTCCCCACTACGAGCCTCTTCGTTTTTCGAAGAGTGATCAACCGGAAACGAGAGTCGGTTGGTAAAAATATGATTCAATAGAAAATATACATATATAATCCGCAAAAGTAGTTAATACAAAAGAGATATCTAATCCAATGGATGGCAGGCGAAGACGAGCAAAAAGAGATTAAAAGAACAGGCAATGACGAAGGATGGAATTCAGTAGACAGTAAAATTGAAAACACAGCAAGGAGAACAAAGTCAGAATGCTAAGAAATAAAATAGAGTTGAATGGGATATTACTATGTGTTGAGTTTCGTCTTTCGGGGAGAACAGAAGAAATGGCATACAAGGCGCAGAGCAGACTATTTTTCTTTTCTTAACCAGACACTCACCTTTTAAAATGGAATAAACTAAAAATAAATAGAGCAACTTCGAAACACGAGTATTAAAAACGGGACTAGATAGGAAGGAATAAGAAACACGGGATAGTGGCTGTGTACACGAGTATGGAAAAAGCAGAGGAGATAAACGAGGAAAGGCTAGATAGAGAGTAGTCACAGTACAAAAAGTAAGGAAACGGAATTAAAAAAAAAAAAAAAAAGGGATGAGAATAGTACGCCGAAACTGAACAATTTAAAAGGCTTGGAAAAAGGAGAAAATAAGTGGGATAATGGAAGGTAACCGAACTGAGGATTTCGTATACCAAAACCGCGATACGGGTATGGTAGTGCGGGTAGAAAGGATACTGGAAAACCTCGGCGGGTGTTGGAGCCGACGGGGGTATTGGATTGTGAAGGGAAGGGAATAAGAAGAGAGGAGGAGTACGGGTAGATTGATGCAAGACTCAGGCTAGCCGTGCGGTTTGGCTATTGGCTAAATAGGGGGAAGTCAACGGGGAGTGGGTGGTCGGATAGTCCCCGACTCGACCGACTCGACCACAGCCCATTGGAATCGTACGAGGTTCAGGCTCAAGCAGCAGGGAGTATGGTAGAATAATAGGCACTGGCAGTAATTTCCACTGACAGGAACAACGCAAACAGGCGGACAAGGCAGCGGACCATTTCAGCTTACTTGCCGCCATTGTTACCCCCAGGTCCAACTGTGAAATAGATTGCGAAGAAAAGGACCAGCACAAGGATAATGAGAACTGTAGAATATGCGAATTAATATGCTAACCCTTCAATGGAAATATAAGAATGAATATACTCACCAACTATGCCGAGGCAGATCCACTTCTTCTTGTTGCGAGCCCTAGCCTTCTTGATCGCACCACCAATTTCCTCGTTGCCCTTCGTTATATTATCATGGATCTGTTCGGTCTGTTCATCGATCCGCTCGACAGCAGCTTCTTGCTGTATGACGATAGCATCAAGATCTTGGAACATCTGAGAAAGTTCTAGCAAGTCGCGCTCAATTTTCAGGATTTCATCGTGCCTGGCGCGAACCATCTGCGAAACCTTTTGGGCGTCACCGCGTCGGTCGCTTTGCATAAGCTGTGGCAGCAGGGGAGAGGTCAAGATTAGTATCAGCTGTCAATAGGCAGAAGTATTCCACCTTGAGAGAGGGCGGTTTTTTCTTGATGCCTGGTATGGATTCCCTGCTGCTTTGTTTGTGGGGAGTCGGGGGAAGGGGTTAGGTGCTTACAGCCTGGCTGAATATTTGCTGTTGCGACGGGTCTTGAACAGCTTCCTTAACTTCCTCATCAGTAGCATCGGGTCGCACAATTCGGTATTGTCTTGCCATTTGCGCCTCCAAGTCCTTGCGGAAATCCGACTGCACGGCGTGGAAATTCGTGATAGCGGATTTGAGCTTCCGCTCGACTCTGCCAATCTGAGCACTGTTGATGCTCTCTCCAGCACCGGGGGTCTGTTTTATGCTCTTCAAGCGTTGGATCAGATTCTGGTATAGGCGTTTCGCATCACTGGCCAACCCATCTGCCTGCGAGCGAATCGCATTTTCGCGGGTGGGGTCCGCATCTGTGAGTAGACGTCGGTACAGACCCTGGATCTGCTCGATGTACTTCTCTACCTCATCGATACCCTGTTCGATATCTTTACACTGATTGAGGATCGCACGCTTGTCATTTGGTTCATCGTAGCCTCCTTGGACTGGAGGATCGTATGGAGACATTTCTGGTGCGCAAAAGCGGATTAGTATTTCTTGGTATTTGTAACCAGTATGGGGGAAAGGATAAGAGGAGTTATTAATAACAACGTACCATAACGACCGGCACCGGCTTCGACATCGTTATTATATCTATTGTCTTGTCGAGCGCTGTATGGGTCGTATTGGCCGTAGCCTTGGCCGCCGTAGTTATTATACTGTCAGATGCAACGCGACCCCGAACGGGCTTCCATATCAGCGGGGTGTACATTATAATAAGACTTATAGGTTCTCAATTCGATATGCAGGCAAGAAGAGAGGTTGGGAGAGGGAGCACGCCAACCGCAACGGACGGCAAGGAGACACTCACACTCATGATGGCGGCAAAACCACGTTAAATGGTAGCTATTCGGACTGTATTCCAATTGTCGTCGCGATAAAGTAATTAGAAGAGAGATAGCCGCCCAAAAGAGTATATCTTTGTCGTTGGTGTGGGTGGTGGTGGTGAGAGAAAATTGAATTGGTTAAATTGGTTAAGGGGACGGGATGGAAAAGGGGATACGGGTGGATCGAGGTGGGTACGCGGCTGTAGAGATTGGTCCCGGAAACGATGTGAAAACGAGCACACGGGGATCAGAATGCAAGGTAGAAGATTGAAAACCAGAACAAGCGGGAGGAGAAGAATACACAGATCTAAGAGAGGGGAGGAAAAGCGTCCAAGAGAGATAGAGCAGTGCAGGTGAAGAGGTGAAGAGGTGAAGAATTGAGGTTTGAAGCTGAAATTGACACAGGGAGAAGGGGCTGAGTTGGGATTAGCCTCAATTGGGGCCTTAGTCATCCAAGGAACACGGGAGGTACCTGATTTTATATGGAGGTTTAGCGGGTCAAATAGGTACCCACTAAGTTCCTTTGACTAACGGGGGATTCATCCACTTCCGCTTCTCCATACAATGACAAAGATAACAACCCCCAGGTAGACTCGAACATACACTTTACAAATCGCCTCTCTACTTCAAACTAACTAACAATCAAGTCAAAGCCTCTTGCTTCACCTCACCCCCTCCGCCGTCCCCTTGCCGGCAAGAAATACCTGCAAGAAATACCAGCCCTGAAACAATCGGGCGGCAGACAATATCCTGCGTGATGCCGGCTGTATACCCCGCCGCTGCCACCGTAGACGATGCATATCCCCATGTCCCGATGCTCAGATCCATTCCAACCCGGCCAGTCCGCTGGTGGACAGAGTTCGTATGTTGCGGCTGAGATCCATGGACGTATCTGAGGGCTGGCTGCTACGACATACATGCAACTAGCAGTGCGCGAATACCCAGCCTAAACGCCAGCCGCACGACCATCGAACATGATGGCACACACTGTCTGTGGCATTGGCAAGCAAGCCAGGCCCAAGAAGTTAATAATGAGGCACGAACACCCATCCATCCAAAATTCTGCCGCCAGCCTAACTAACTAGTTAACGGCCGTTAACTTTCTAAGCCGCCGCATGATCCACCACATCAACCACTAATATCGCTTATAAAAATAGCTCAGTCGTAACACTTGCATTCTGACTCGCACTAGCATATGCACGCTGCCAATGACAGAGCACCAACGATTTTGTCCAGTGCCAGCTCCGAAATCATCGAGAACAGCAGAATCATGGAAGCTAAAGAGATCTTGAAAAAAAGTCAGCCCTATTAACGGATCTACCAACTTATTCTTTCGGAAGCTTAATATACAGAGCTTCAAAGAAAATCCAAACTACTGCCACACAATGAGATAGAGCCTCCACCAACAACAATCGCCTTAATCCCACCATCCTTTGGGATAGATCAACTAGCGGCGAGGAATCTACCAACAAAACAAGGGGGAAAAATGAAGAGGTCAAAAGAAAGGACACAATGAGGCAACAAAGCGACAGCAATAAATAAAATAAAGTATTGCACCCATTTGAAACTTCATGCAGTTCCCGAGCAGTAGTTTCTTTTTAACACACATTTGCATCCAGAACGATGAATTCAAATAGGCCTCGATAAAGGAAAACGCAACCGATGAATGTCGGGAGTTTCCCGTGCGGCAACAGGAGCTGCATTTATTGGCCTGAAAACCGCCGGCGTTTATTGGGTTCCACAAGATATTGCTAGTTAGCTAACTCCTTTCCAATTCCCACATACACGGGTCGTCTGCATCCCCTCTTCTTGCCCCCGCAGAATGGTAGAAATGCCGGGAAATATCAAGGCGAAAGGAAGAGATACCGTGTTAATACAAGACAAAATTCATAAAAAGTAAAAAATCTTTGAGACCTACTCGCTGAGCCTGTAGCTGACTATTTCCAATTCACCCGGTTTGCTTCGTCGTTGGATAAAACTCTATCGCGCTGTCAACTCGATATAGGTGGAAATATTGAATTCCATTATGCTATTATCGCACTTCCTCTATATCAGTCACTTTAAATCCCTGAATACTTGATAAACCGAGGTCTCCCTATTTCTCATTTCTCAGGAAGGGCCATTTCCCAACCCTGCTTCTACTCAATATCCATCATATCCTTGAGCAATTCTGACGATAGACAGTAGCTTGCTACACCATGATTGAAACAGGCTGCTCAGGCGCAGATCGAAGCCCCCTGGGACTTCGCGGTTGCGAGGGTGGAATGTTGGGGAGATATTGCTGGGGAAGTTGGAGTCCGCCAGGGACGGGGGAGGGGATCAACTCCATACCTAAGTACCTAGGCGAATATTCACCCAAGACCATGAAGCATGAAGTTCTAATGGAGCTGGTATCATGTAGCCAGGAAGGCAGCTTGATCTATCTAAGCAGCGAGGGACATGAGGTAATTGGAGGGTGAGAAATAGTCGGAGTCCGAGTTACTGTGATAATAGCCGTGTGTAGCGCTTGCTGGCATCTTGATCCTTCAAGTAATGATTTCCTCTGCGTAGGCTGGAAGATGAAAGAGTAGAAAGAGTAGGGGAAAGCAGGTAGAGAAGCACATCATATTATTGTCAAATTATTCAAAAGCATAAGGCACTTGAAGTCATCAGCCGGTTTGTATCAATAGATCTTCTGTATTCAGTGTTATAAGACGTTCGTTTTTAATACAACAAATTCATTGCCTACACCTGATATCATGCGCGTTTCTTCCCTTTTGTTCTTCTAATAAACAGACTTGCTACTAGTCGAGGAAACATTCTATTCATGACGAACTTCGCTGCTTAGAAGTCATATATCTATGTCAATGGTAATAAAACCCCCACAAATACACCCTCAATCGCCCCTCTTCCCCCACCTCCGCGTCTCATCTCCATTCTGCCAGTCACGCTCAACATACCCAAGGCGCTTCTTAACCTCAACAACGGTATGGGTGTCACCGGTATTTTTGCCGAGATTGTCTGAAAGTTTGACGGCGGGCCGGCCGCCGGCAGAGGAGATTTTTATGACAATATTTAACGGGACAGATTTCTTGTGGTCGGATAGCTGGGAGAAATCGTCTATTTGAATTGTTAATAAAGGTTAGAATAGGAAAAATGAGCAATGGGGTGGGGGACCTATAATAAAATCATAGTGGTGCAGGGTAGGAAAAAGGCAACACATACTGGTAAGGAACGTCCCGACACCGAAGACAGGTTGAAAGCCTGCTTCATCAGCAACGACCTTGTAGTCCAAACACAGCTGCAGATTCAGCGAGTCGGAGAACACAAGTGTTTTCTTATCCTTGATGCCTTCCTTGTCGTAAAAGTCGCGTACCATCTTGACGAAGTAGACTGGATCACCCGAATCCTGGCGCACACCCGTGAAGGCCTGTGCGTATGTTTTGGTTGACGGGGTATGTTGTTCCTCCTTTTTCACGGCGGGAGAGGATTTTATAGGGGCCGCAATTGGCGGTTCCGTCTCGGACAAGTTGTCAGTTGTGGAATTTCCACCTGCGAACGAGGCCATAGTACCTTCTGCTCCTTGTGTTGCCGTTGTGTAGCCCGGTATTGGCTTGCGAAACGCATCTAGAAAAGCGGGTGTGCCAAAGGTATCCGTCAAGGCTATGCCAAGTACCTTCACGTCTTTTGTGTTAGCCTCAGATTTTCTCATGTATGCTCAAAACTTCAAGCGGGAAGTAACACTGACCCCTTCCCCGAAACAGCCCAGCCAATAACGCAAAGCCAGTTCGTTGGCATTTTCATAATTATCAGTAATAGCCGCAATTCCCATGTACCACTCATGAGCAACAGTGCCCACAGCAGCGACACCATGCTTCATAGCGAAATGCACATTGCTGGTGCCAGACAAGACACCCTTCCAGCCCTTTTCCTTGCCATCAGCTGCAGCGCGACAGAGGCCCCTCATGACCAGACTCTGCGTATGGTAACTCCTTCTCCGGCGCGTGCCAAACTCTGAAAAGATACATCTGTGCTCTAAAAGGGTGGCGGCCTTCCTATATGCCTTCTCTTCTTGTTGGTGGTAATCCCAGTCACGATCACACCATTTAAAATAAGCCTCACTGGCGATCGCAAGGAGAGGTATCTCGTAGAGAATTGTCTCGACCCACAGGCCATGTATTGCTATGTTGATATCTCCGATATCTGAGTCGGCACCAGTATCATTTATAGGGATGAAGGAGATGTCGAGTTGTTCTGTGGGCTTGAAGTGGAAGGATGACAGGTAGCGCAGATAAGCAGGATTAAGGTATGGGCATTGTAACTTGAGGTATTCGTGTTCCTCAGGTGTGAGTGAGATATTTGCAAGTTCTGCAGAGCGTCAGAATGAAAAATAAAACTAAAAACATACAATTTATGATAATAAAACTGCATGATGTAGACCCATTAGCCTGATGAAGGCATGAGTCACTCGGGTTGGCTAATCCGGACGTTCGGTCATGAGGAGCACGATCAAGGAGAAAATAAAAAGGAAAAGGTAAAGAAAAACATACTTTCAATCTCATTCTTCAGCCATGTGTAAGCGGCCCTAGTAAATTTCATATCCTTTGTCCGATTGGTGAAGGCGTACGTGACTTCTGCACGTCATACATACAGCCCAGCGGCCTGGGGAGGGACCCCACGCGCAACGGGTAATTGGTTAGCAACGGAGTCGTCCAATTAACAACATCAGAGAAAATAGATTGCAAAGGAGAAATTAAAGACCCACTCACCAGCATCGGGGAAGTATTTCAGCACCGCGCATTGCATAGTAAGTTTGTATAGGTCAGTATCCAGCAGGGAAAACACTCCCTCCGGCACAGAGGGAGCGGCAGAAGTGTCATCCATGGCTTAGTGCCCGAGGTGCCAAGGAAGTCAATCGACGCAATGGACAGGTAAGCGGAAGATATGGCTATGTAGAGTAAAAGGTATAAGACAGCATCCGCGGTGGTCGAAGATTGTCGCGAAGGAGGGGTGTTTATACTCCTGTCGTTGATGGCGCCACGATGGGGCGGGTTGAGTGTTTGCTGCGTTTGCATCATTGCATCACTGCTCGAATTTGCAAACTCACTCTTGTAAAACCAATAACCATAACCGGGGGGGTTGAAAATAAAACACCCACACCCAGCATATGTCATTGAGACTGCCCAGGGCTCACAAAGCTACAAGCTACATGGGATAAAACTAAGGAAAAAGCGGGATAGAGGATAGATAGTATGAATATCATTCACACGTGGGATCGTTACGGTGAGGTACAACACAGATACCACCATGCAATGCCACCACTAATTATGAAAAGAAAATGTGTGTGTGGGTGTGTGAGAAAGCTGTACGTGTATATTCCATTCCCAATGCACTATATGCCCAAAAGGATATGATTATTACTTAGGGAATAAAATCCAAAGTAAGCACGCGAGCAAGCAATATGCTTCAAACGACAAAAGAGGCATAATAAGAGAAAACGCCAGGGTATGGATGCATTGAGCTGACACGAGATAGGGAAAAAAAATACACGATTAAATGAAAAACCAGGAAGACGGAAGTCATCGTCATCCACGACATGACAACATTTCGATCAGTGATTAGCAAGACATTATTACAATAATAATACAGGCGCAAAATAGGGGGAAAAAAAAGACATTACAGAGTTGTGTGAATTAAAAGGCTGGTAAGACAGAAATATGAAAAGAGAAAAAAGAAAAAGAAAAAAGAGAGAGAAAAGAAAAAAAGAACAAAGAGACTAAAGAAGGCCAAGGGAAGGGGTAGAGATAGGTGAGAACTGGGGTATAGTAGGGTTGGTTAGGGTGGTGCGTGACGGGGTGAATGAGGTAAGAAGAAGGGGAAATGAGCTTCATGCCGAACTGGCAAGCCGGAAAACACCTCGAGAGCAGAGCAAGGGGAAAGAGAAGATGAAAAAGATAGAATCGTCAAGATTCAAAGTGGAGAAGCGTCGGCGGGAAAGCGTGGGTGAGAGAAAGGTCAAAAAATGTACTGTCAAAATACCCCCCATCAAGCCATGCCTTAGAAGGGCAGCTGCCCATGCACAACTGGTGATTTGTCAATGATTGATGTCGCACAGGCTGAGGGGAACTCGACGTGTGGGAGAGTGCCAGTGCAGGGACCCTCTGAGTTGTCTGAAGATTATCCTGAAGCAAACGCATAACTGGCAAAAGGGGCTGCAGACAGGGTTCGTCACAAAGGCGGCAAGACAGGCGGGAATGGAATGGGGTGGGAGGAGGCGAAGGTCCACGGAGATTGGGGCAGCATGCAGATTTCGTCGATTGGTCGAAGCAAGCAAGTTATGCGAGTAAGCATGCATATAAACTGCCGAAGGATTGGCGGAGCGACGCATGCTGGCGATGTGGAGCCTCCGATTGATATGACGCTCTCCATCTCTCCGCATCCCTCCGTCAATAGGAGACTGCAAAAAGCTAAAGCTTGCATTATCATAATTACCGCCAACTGGCCGGCGGAGTTAAAGCCCCTCTTTTACGGTTGCCCCGCCGCCCCAAGTGACGACACATAGAGTTCGCTTGAGGAATCCATGTCGCGCGCGAGGTCTCGACTACCAAAGAACCGATGAGATTCCAGGATATGCAGTGTGAAGATCGGGAATGCATATAAAGCATTGCAGTCAGCATGGATATTGTGGCAGGGGACGCTATGCATGTTGGTAATAGTGTCTGCGGGGAGAGGGGCAATGGGCGGGTTGTCCGGGTATGGCGTCGTTATGAATAAGCGACCTGGCTCAAGGGCTTGCTCAAAGAATCGTCGTTAAAAGGATTGGCAAACAAAGGATTCCAGGTGTCAGATGACTTGAGGAAGCCGAAGCTACGACTGCTAGCAGGCCTTGGGTGGCCAGGGGCTTGACGGGTTCAGGGGTACCCGGAACAACGTCGTGCAGAATGCCCAGACAGAGTCGCAGGTTTTAACCGTGTCTCAGGCAGAGCCGGATATTGCTCCCAAAAAAAGATTTGCGGCTTGCCAGTCCACGTGGATTTAACTACCCCGGAGCAACGAAGATCAAAGCGCACTAGAGGGAAAAACTCGAGACCATTGAGAAAAGAGCAATGTGTCATAACTCGTATTTAGCTGAACCTTGAGGCGGTGAGTGAAATCGTATTTCATGGCGACAGGGTTAATTGGCGTTTTTTCCCATTCCATAATATTTTCCTCTCTCTCTCTTTGGGATTAGGCGAAATCCGCTGACAGGGAAGAGCGCAAGGTTTTGCTGACTGATTTAGGCATCGGGTCTCGGGTAAGCAGCAGTAGTGGTTAGCAGTAACTTAGTGGTTAGCAGTATCGCATTAGAGCAGTCGTAAGGGATCCGGCGAGCTCGAATGTTATGTATGACGTGACGTGGGGCGGTTAAAGGAATGCCGAGAAAATGGCGAAGAAGAAAAAAAAATTTGAAAAATTGAAAAATTGAAAAATTAAAAATTGAAAAGACGACAAAAGAGAAAGGGATTTCTTGGCCCGACGCAGGAGGGCGTTGGAGAAAGCCAACGAATTGAAATAGAGGTGTTCTCAGGATCCATATCGATGATACAAGACACAACTGACAGCCAGCTGCCTATTATGGCCTGTTGTTATACATGAGGGTTCGGAGGGCGGTCAAGAGGCCCAGGGGTGGGAGAAGAAGAGGAAGGTCAAGAGTTCGAAGACGATTAGAAAGACTTTGAGGAGAATCAATAATCAACCACGCAAACACTACCCCATAGTGACGCTCTTATTTAGGTACCGGTGGAAGAGGGCCCTTGGGAGGAGGGCCGGGGCAAGGAGGATATTGGCTCGCGGAGGGAGTATAGGAAGAAGGCATTGTGAGAGTCGGAGGCTGTTGTTCCTGAGAAAAAGTTGGGCAAAGTTCGAGGAGACCGGATATATATGGTTTGTGTGTTTGTGTGCACTATCTGGAAGAAGACTTGACGTGGAGATATCAAGCTTGGAATTGTAGAGGAGCAGGGAGTAGGGTTAACTATTTATATATCGAATTAGTTAATGAGAGTGGGAGGAATTGTGGAATTCTTTGGAGGAGAATATAATAACGGGTTGAATGTATTTGATAGAGGAGGCTTAAAGTCGAGGGGAGGGAGAACAAGGAAGAAACGAGATATTTAAATATGTTGAGAAAAAGGGAAAATTAATCAAGACATAATTAATGCAAATGTCAGACAAGAACGAGGTACCCGGTATTTTATATTGCTTTTTCTTTTTCTTTTCTTCCCAGTTTTCTTCAAAATTTCCTCCGCTTTCATTTGACCTTATCCGCATAATAATAATAACACACCCCCCGGGGACTAAAATAAGGCAAACTGATGCCTATTCTTCTTCTTGCCTGCGCCGGAGATAACCATTATTTATTATTTTTATTATTATGATCTGTGTGTGCGCGATGTCCTGTACTTTTGTTGCTTATTTTCTGCATCTCAAGGATAAATTACAGCTTCTGTGTGCGTAATGGTGTTTTTTTTTTGTTTCTTTTTGTCTCCTCGCGTTCTTCAAATAATAAGTAGTTAACTAACTACGGATGGGGATCCACCTGTCCTGCTTCTTCTTCTTTTTTCCTTTTTTGCCCTTTGTTCTCGGTTATGGCGCATTATTCCCACTCACTCAGGTATTATCTTTTTGTTTGGGAATTGGAGATGATGGAAATATAATCATATCAACTGCTAACACACGATTATGAATTATTATAATTTTGAAGCTGAGCTGTATGCGAGAAACCTGCATTCCCTGCCAGTGTAACCCCAAGAGCCCTGTGCAGTACATTCATGGATCAATTCAGTTCTTACATTAGATGCAGCGATACACACATTTTCGCCACACGTAATAAACCTGCATATTGAATGATGAAAGCCAAACGATGGTTCAGTTAATCATCGTATGTATCCCCGAGTCTGTCGTCGGCTATTATATCCATCCAGCTTCTTAAATTAGCTCGTTGAATGTTCAACTGTTTCAGCAGGATTATTTCTCTTCTTTCCCCACAGCCACCATACGAGTGTGAAAAGTGAATCGTTCATTTTCTGACAATCGCGGTCATCTCTAACATTTCAGCAAGTGTGGAAGAAATTCCATGCATCAAGATAATCATAATATATTGGTGCTTTCGTGTAAAATAATCCAGACATCCCTCCCGTGCATGGAATTTGATGTTTGCAGGGCAAACATGCAACATACGCATAGTATGCACACATTCCCGATGTCATCAGTAGCTTTACAGCAGCTACTATGTAGTTATGTAATAAGAAATTTCTCTTTTTTGCCTCCCCCCTGTTCGCAGTCTGCGCTAGCTGCCAACTATCTACGCTGTATGCGTATGCAGGGAGCGTAGTGGGTGGTTGTGGTGTGGCCGATTTGATCCCAAGCGCAAAATGCGCAGCATCAAGGCCTGCATGACCCAGAGTACCGGGATCTCGGATCAAGAGCTCTAGGGGATAGACGTCAATGATGTTGCAATTTTGCCCATTTTTGGGAATGGAATGGTGGAGTGTGCCACTCCTGTTTGTGTGTGAGTGTGAGTGCGGTGACACAATATGACAGGGCTCAATATTCCCCTTTACCCCTTAGTCGTCCCCCCAAACAAGGAAATATACTACATGCTATACGGAGTACAAAATTGATGATCTTCGATTTTTTATTTTTTATTTTTTTTATTTTTCCGGCAAATTTTCATATTATTATTCTGCGTTTTTCTTCCCACTCACTTCCACTCGAAGCTAGCAAAGCCAGCCCGTCGAACTTTTGGACAACAGTTCAGAAGCAAAAAGGAAGCAAATTAAATGAAGCTCCACTGTGGCGGTGACTTCTTCTGGATTCTCCAGCCCACCAAAATCATGATCGCCCTCCCTGTGTCCTGGTTGAGGTTCGCTCTGACATCTGGCATCTGGAGAACACCACTGGAGACTCGGTTGCTGGTTCGGCCGTCCGTCGCACAGGTGGGAGCCCCAAACCCGCCCCATTTGCTCCACAAGCCATGCGCCTTGCCACAACTTGCCAGAGCCTGAAACCTAGCGTATGGTGTCCACTGGCCCACTGGGAGCGCCGAAACTCAATTCGCGGCTGGCTTGTGTGCCAGACTGCCAGTTAGGGGCCGAGGGGCGAGAGATGACTGGCTTTTTCTCCCTGGCTTTAACGAAACAATCGCGCTCGTTCTGCCACGAACCCCGGCTGAAATTTTCCGGATGAGCCGCCCTCGAGCGGTGAACGACTCAACGAGACATGTACATACATGTAACTCATCAGTCTGCACGAAAAATGCCGGGACAAAGAACCCCTGCGTCTGGATTATCACTTTCGAAAGGAAGGCTGAAAAGAAAAAGAAGCCTAAATTAATCTCAATGATCCTGTGATCAAGAATGCTCCACTTGAACCTCCCCCAACCCAGTTCTCTGTTTTCTCGCCCTCAAGATGATGAGATCAAAGCTTTCATGCGCTCAGCGGAGATCTCTTCTTTTCTCTTCTCCCCCAGTATTTATTTTTTGTCTCGAATATTCGTTACGGCTAGTTTTGTGGGATTACCCAGTTCAGCCAACCGACGCTCAGACAGTTCACATCATACCTAGTTATAGCGTAACTTATCCACTTGTCGGTAGTTAGAGTTCTTGGAAAAGGAGAAACCCTTCCTTCTATCAATTTTTTTTTTTTTTTTTTTTAGCAATATCTAGTTAACTCTTCGATGTTTTCCTTGCATTTCATCTTGGACATTCCGGCTGGCACACCAATTGGAACAATCCTTTCACACTACGGATATTTCTGTCCCCCCAAGTCCTTGGATACATAATGTAAACGCACTTAATGGATGATGATGATCAATTGCGACCTTCTCCGGAAGAATAGAATAATGAAGAGCAAATGGAGGTTGTTATTGTATCACTGCATCTTCAGCGCCTTGCACGGAAAAATTCCACCACAACACATGCCTGCCCTCTTGTCCGAGGATTGGAGACACAACCCAGAAAATCGGACTAAATCTTCTTCCTCTTCTGGGAATATTAGTGCCTGCTTTTTGGCGATTGATGTTTGCATTATTATTACCAGAAATAAAGCATCTGAGGCTGCGATAAACGGATGATGGGCATGACCAACTGCTGAGCGGCGTTAGTGCTAGATTATTCCGGGAGGGACGTAGATCCCTTGACGCCGACAACGGGACAACGGAGAATCTGAAGAAAAAGAAAAAGAAAAAGAAGCCATCACCAGTAGGAACCAAGCAAGGCCCACTGAATCAGGGGATTATACGTGATTAGCGCGGGCAGTGAGTGCTGGGCAAGATGAGCTTCAGGGCTTGTTCAGTTCTGGTAGCTTGCTTGCTTGCGCCGGGGTTGTTTTGCGTCACACATATTTAATTTTGTGAAGTAAATAAGTTACTCCGTAGTTAATATCTGATATTATCTTAGTTGATGTTGTCTGTTTGCTAGGCCCTGTCAAACACTACAGATGAACTCCGCTGTAACTGTGCGTCTTATGATGGGCTATTTACTGTACAACCCCCTAGGTTTCCCGATAGGTGAAGGGCTTTATTATTATTATTTACTGTGTGGATGCATCATTAATTGCAGGGCGCGTAAGGAATAGTTACTGTATGGAGGGTGAGGTAACAAATTCAGCGAGAGAGCGAGAAAGCGAGAAATCGAGGATCAACAACATCAGCCTCACTGCATGGATCTGCTCTGCAACCCTCCCACAGTTGCCTGATTCCTTGAATTATTCCATCCATCCATACGGAGTACTGCGTACATCACTCCTATTTTCCTTGGCCTCCGCGATGGTTCGAGAAATGTTCCATGCGTTTAACTCAATCCGGTGGCCGGTCTTGCGCCAGTTTAAGAGATATTTTTGATGTCTACTCTACAAAAGTCGCCGATCGCCGACCAGCTCAGCTCAGCTCATATTTGGGATTGTTCTCTCTCACTATTAATATTATCGACAAGGATAACTCCATGGAACCACGAGATGTGGATATGATATGTCTCCTCGCATTCTGGAATACTTCTAGCGCCTGGGGTCAGCCAGCCATTTTCTTCTGTTTGGGATTTCTCTGGGCTCGAAATTAATGACAATATCACCCGGTTGCACAGGATGAAAAAGGAAAAGGAAAATAAAAAAAATAAAAAATAATACTCTTACATGCTGTCAATGTTGTGTAAAAACTATACCATGCAATTTATTGGATTAGATTAGTGCTTGGTTTCTTTTCTTTTTTTGTAACCATGTGTGAGACTGGACATTATTATTAAATATTATTATTAATTCGTAGGACACAGCAGTATGATCCCACCCAGCCTAAAACGAAACCTTCAAATACGAGAGGATTTGATGGAAGGCTGCTGCTGACCCTATCCAGGCCACGTTTTTTGCTCCAACCCCTGCAAAAGTTTAGCGTACGAACAGCAAAATACATGCCAATTATTAATAATAGGTTGCATGATGAGCGCAGCCTCTTCCTGCATCTCCGAAATGGCTGAGCGAAAAGAGATGGCAAGTGAGTGAAGTCATTTCCCTGTCTTATCTCCTAGAAGCGAGGTAGCTGGTACTGACTGTACGTACTCCGTGCATTAACTCAAGTTGCTCGATAGCGCGCAGCAGTTCAGGGCCTGATGATGCATCGGTACAGAGTACAAGGCTGAATTACATCCCTCTACTATACTCAATAGTGGGACGTCTACACTACGTAAGTGGCAATGTTCATAATTACAGAAATAAGTCAACATATGATCTTCCAAAGGAGGCGAGCTGTGAAGGAGGAGCCCGATGCTTCGGCGTACTCACTCACTCACACCCAGGATGGGGTCAATCCCTGTTCTTTAAGCCATGTTTCCTTTCTTTTCAAAAATGGATTCTACCAGCGTGTGTGAAAGTTGTAGTTAAGCGTCAAAGCTAAATTAGACCAGGCTTTCCCCAGGAATATCCATCCGGTCACATGGGGTAATAACATTACACAGTACCCAAAATAAGGTTGTGTGGTCAGTATTCATATACAAACCCCTCGCTCTTCTTTTTTTACCACCAATGGAGAAAGAAAAGACCAGCCAACGTACGCAAGACGCCACTAGATCGCTGTGGGAGGGGGCTCGGGCCGCGTCGGATCCCCCCTTTGCTCACTAAAATAGTTAAGATTAACTCAGACCACATCACATCTCCAAACCATTTTGTCGTGGCGTGTTTGCCCGCAGATTCGGATTTATTCGGCGGCTGGCTCCTGGTTTCGCCAGATCGTTGAATGCGATCAGAACTTCCAAAGGTTGGAATTCGGGGTCGTCTCTCCGCTTGATGCGATGCGGGTGCGAATCAAATTGAGGGGCTGAGTGCCTCGAAATTTGGTTCCGTTTTTCTCACGCGACGAAGGAGTTTAGATTATGATTAGGGGCGGTTCGGCCTCGATATCCCCATCTCTCAACCCATGCAGCTTCACGGACTCGTCGGTGGCAATCCAACTAACTCCTCTCCTCAATCCAGGCCATGAGAGTCGGTGGCGCAACTACGGGGTTCGTGGAAGTGACACCGTGCGTCGGGTGATTTGTCGCGAACATTCCCGGAAACAGGGGAATCCAAGGGGCCAGGGCTCATGCTCACGCCACGTGTGATGGGCCGAGCGCAGGATTTAAGCATAGCCTAGCATCAATGCAGCGAACTTGGGGTGGTGTGGGGGAATAAGAGGGCCATTGGATTCGTCCGCAGATACAGGCCTTGTCAATCGTGCCACTGACCAAGGAAAAGGGGGCGGGGAAAGACCCTGTTAGCGGCGCTGCGCAGGGCTTGCATCGAAAAAGACGACTTGCTCGGACCCATTATTTGCAAGAAAAAGAATGAACGTAAACCAGGGGGAAGAGTAACTAAAGCAAGACTAAGAGACGGCTGGAGTGGAGAAACACACTGTGCCGCCCGAGTGGTATTAGTTCAGAAGAGGAGGTAACTTGGGGAGAGGAGCAGGATAGTGGAGCTTTTTTTTTTTTTTTTTTTTTTTTTTTTTTTTGTTGACAATTCTTGGACCCCGCATGATTGGTCGGACTTTCTTGACTGACAGATATCTGCTGGATTGAGGATTGGAACGCTCAGACGCTCAGCGAACCTGCAACAGGGGCGTTTCTGGTCGCCTCAAGGCGCAAGAGTTTCTAGGTTTGTTGTATTGTTGCGAGGTTTTTGCCATCATTACGAGAGCTTTTCCTGCAAAACGGTACAGAGTAGACTACTCCGTACCATAGCTCATAAAAATATTGAAGCATGTAAGAGGCGCTGGTTTTGGTTATGAAGAAACAAGAAAACACCGCTCCGCGAGGTTCCATGTAGTTGCATGTCAAAGTAAAGCGTACGTAATTTGGTAGTTATCTAATTTCAGATTGCTCGCGATTCATCAAGGTCGAAATATGTTGATATGTTGCTTTGGCTCGTTTATTTTAGAGACGACTCGATGGTTGCCCGCTTCAGGAAATAACCACCAATAGTATCCTCTCGCGGAATAATGGCTGAATTGATAAAGTTGAGAAGGAAACTTCCCAATCATCTTTCAGGATTATTGCATGCCGTTTCAATAGTACCTCATATCGTCCAGGTTTTATTGATTCGGAACGAAGGGGTATATTTACATCTCTCAATATGGAACTTTGAGTCGGGATGCTGGATATTTATATCACGTGGCCAGGAAGCCCTACCTCAGGAGAGGAACGAATCGGCCACCAGTGGACCTCTCAACCTCCTTTGGCTAGGGACAGACCTCTGTGTGCTAGGAAGAAGCGGAGTACGCTGCCATACAAAGATTTCCCCGACATTTCTGGAAGCATCCCCGAAAATGATTCGGACATGTTCATGTATCTCTTCGGAATTCCGAAAGAAAAGTTCGGTGCCAGGTTCGGCATATCGGATAAGGATATGTGTTGAAATGCGTTGCTTAACAGTATATATAGCATTCCTTAGAGCATCAAGTTGATATATTACACTGCAGTCTCTACATACCTGAACTGGAATGACAAGGAGGTGATACACTTGTTGAGCGGGATTGGTATAAACTTCCGGAACCGTACTACTACCTCCGTTTGTCGGCATCATTAACGATAATTCTTGATTTTTCATTCTTTTCTTTTAATCCCCGAATCATGGCCGATGCCTTCACTTCGGTGCCAGTCAAACCGACCTTGAGCAATTATTGGTGGGCGGCAAGGAACCCACCAGCCGATCCCAAAACATCCTTTGCTGGTAAAACCGTCCTTATTACCGGGGCGAATGTGGGTCTTGGATTCGAAGCCGCGATAAAATTTGCAGCCTTAGGTGCATCAAACCTTATCCTCGGTGTCCGTTCGTTGCCAAAAGGGGAGCAGGCCAAGGCGAAGATCGAAGCCAGGACAGGTTGCAGCGCGGGCGTCATACAATTAATCGAGCTGGATATGTCCAGGTATCAATCTATTGAAAAATTCTTTCAGCAGGTTAATAGAAGATTTACCGTTGTACATGCCGCTGTCCTGAATGCCGGCGTTTTCCAACGATCCTACGAGCTGAGCACGGAGGGCTGGGAAATGTCGATCCAAGTCAACGCCATATCGACGGCTTACTTGGGGATCCTTCTCCTCCCTAAACTGCGTGAAACAGGTTTATCCACCGGTAGGGCGGCACATCTTGAGATCGTTGCTAGTTGCGCCCAAGGGGATGCAAATGTGAAGAACGTCCGCGATCCTTCAAGCATTCTTCAGAAGATAAACGACCCAAAACACTTCGGTATCGGCAGCCAATACAGCATCTCCAAATTACTTGCCATGTGGGTAACTACTCACATTGCAGCCGAAGTACCCGTCGAGCAAGTGATCGTGAGCGCATGTTGCCCCAGTATGTGTAAGTCAAATCTGACCGACAATTGGGGCTTCGTGTTACATGGTATAGACACCTTTTCTAGGTCTATATTGGGTAGGACAACAGAAGAAGGTAGTCGGACTCTTGTTAGTGGGACCTTACTTGGGCCTGAAGGGCATGGTGGGTTCTGGACTCATGATAGAATTGCCAAGTGAGTGGATCGCATATATGTGGATCGCATATATTTGTTGTTTCTCAAGAAAGCATGAAATTTCCTAACATTTAAGTAGGCCGGCTGCACTTGTTGTCTCGGATGAGGGAAAAAAGTTAGGAACCCAGTGCTGGAAGGAAATTCTTAACTTGCTGCGAAGGCAAAACCCTGAGGTCGATTTGATCCTCAAGGGCTGAGGGTGGCGGGCGTTGGGAACAAAAGTCTTTCTTTGGAAATAAGAAGGAAACTAGGATATTTATGCACAACAATGCGTTGGACAGGTTTGAAAATTCCATGTATGTTTTCAGAGTGTAATCACTTTATTATGACAAATGCAGTCATTTTATTTGTAGATTTGCATACAGAATGATAGCCAACAGGTAGCTTCCTGAGATTTATGAAAGGCGGTGTTTGACATGTTAAGAGGAGCGGGTTGTGACCTAGATTCCCAAGCTCCCCTTTCTAGATGTTAGTAGCAATAATTAGCACACCTTTCTGGATGAAGGTTATTATAAGTTTGATGTGTCATAAAGGGGGAAAAGGTCTATTTAGTTGCTTGTATGTTCTATCGCAGTTTCTTCTCGATGATAGAAAACAATTCGCGAACTGGTTTCATACCAGCCTCATTGTCTTCCAACAAGGCTACTCCATCTTGCTTCAACAGCGTTTCCAGTAAAGATTGAGCCAATTTATCTCCAAGTACTTCATCCAAAGCCTTTTGAATGGAGTTCAGCAAGTGTCTACTAGTTTCCAGTAAAATTTTGATATATAGGCAGCCATTGTCGCCAATCATGAATCCGTTAATCTGCAACGCACTGACGAGCGGAGGTAACTTGAGAATTTCCGCAAACGCACAGGAAGAATCAAAAAAATCGCTAAGGATTGAGAACAAAGTTTTGTAAGTTCTAAGAAGGGTGGTGTAACAAGACAGAATGGTAAGGGTGGTAGGGGCGTCTAGTTTCAGCGCAGGAGGGGTCAACAAACTGCTTGAGGAAGAGGAGGTTGCTAGCAGACTTGCAGGTGGTGCCTTTGACCTATGAAACCCCGCTCGTAGGACTTCCCATCTTCTTGCTATACGTTCCTCGGGGCTAATCTCTGGTTCTATAGCCGGATCCTTAAGCCCGTTCTCGTGAGCGGCTTTACTTTCTGGATATGCCTCTGGCGGCAACTCTAGCGAAAGTGCTGCGGTTCGTTTGCAAAGCCGAATGATTTCAAGAAATTGCTCAGATCCACGAAGCATGTTTCCAACACTGTCTTCCTCAATCACCGACTTTTCTAGCGTGGCATGGAGGTATTCAGGCATGACTTTGTCAGGTGAATCAAAGAGGTAAGTGCATGAATGCTTCAAAATTTCTGCTCGGTGGAAGTCTTTCATGAGGGTAGCGTTTAGATCGGATAGTTTTTGAATGCAGGCATCTTTAAGCCCTATCGGGGACAGATTCTCCCCATCACCAGATTCAGCGGTTGGTATGTTAGAGGGCGGTGTCCCGGAAATATCGCTTACTAGGGAGTTTGGATCTGAAATCACTGGAAAGAGATCCTCTTGGCCGCTGAGTGAGCGCAGGGGAATGTTATTTTTGGAATTGTTCTGTGTTTGGTCGATTATGATATCATGGGCAGGATGAAAAGCAAAAATGGTTGATTGGAGGGCACCCAAATCGTTAGTGCTGAAATCACTGCTGTATGTTGGTCCAGCTTCTTGAAGGCTAAGAGGCACAGCGGGCAGAAGCAGCGCAGTAGTGTCCATGGATTCTTCAAAAATTTCTTGTCCTTGCAAAAAGGTTGATTGATTTAGATTCGGCCAAAAGACAGATGTGGGCTGCGAGTCATGGATAGCATCCGAAACATCAGGAGCGGCATGTCTCCATATTTGTTGCACGGTAGTTGAGCTGTGGTTTGAAGGGTCATGTAGTCCGTCGCCATTACCTGTATATATAATTAGCCGACGGGAGGACAAGAAGTACTGCGCATATCTAGATGATTTTTACCTCCGTTTTGGGTAGAATTGACTACATCCATTTCAGCTGGAAACATATCTACAGAAGAACCAACACGAACAACCGAAGCTATGGAGCAGTCGGCTTTAGCTTTCCTACAGCGTAGACAGGGGCTGTTGGTCGTAGCCATTAGGTCGCGGTTACAGCGAAGTTTGTGGGCCCGACACCGATCACAAGCATAGCGGCGCGATCTGGTAGTAGTCATAGCTACGAATTTAATATATTAGGCGATCCTCTGATGGAAAAGAAAACGGTTACGGTTTAGGAGACTGGATTATGTAGCAATTTCGTGAAGGAAGCTATTGTTGAGAGTGTAGGATAGTTGAAGGTTGTATTGATAGATCTATCTACAAGAACATAATATAGTGGTGGGTCACGTGATCTAGTGGGATCGCTAACCGCAACAGCCGTAACGGCCAACACCCCCCCTCAAGATAACAAGAATTAGACTGACCGTGTGACCGTGTCTGAGACCAGGACCAGATTTTTTGATAGTCTCATTACCAATTCGACTGATCCCATTACATGGTTTTAACATTAGATAGTAGTCTCATACTGTTTCAGTGAGACTTACTGTCTACTCTTATCACATTTTTCAAATGAGATCATGATTTTTACTTCTCAATTTAAATTATTTTTATTACTTTAAATGACTTTAAATCTTATTTAAGTGTTATCAAAAAGTGTTACTTTTAAAAAAATTAAAAATAGTCTAAAAAAAACCTTAAAATGTCTAAAAATAGTAACTTTATGTCAAGAATGAAACTAAATGAGATTAAATGAGATCACTTTCTCATTTTTTTCAAGTCATAATCTCATTTTAAAATCTGATATATAGTTACTTTGCATGTTTTTTTAATAGCCAGTCTCAGCAGAATTCATATCAAGAAATGTATGAGATCAGATCAAATGAAATTAAACATGAAATTTATAGTTTCAGCAGCCAGTCTAACAAGAATTACATATAAAAACACTCAAATCATCAAGATAGTCTGTTAAAACTAAATACAAATGTAAAATTAAACATTCTCAACTTTTACACCTGTAAGACCTAGTAAAATCATGAATTATACAAATATCACAGTGTTTAGAGATTTAGTAAGTTCATTTATTATTATCTAAGCAGTGAGAATATATTCTAAATCAATGACTCTTTGATTCAACTGTTAATATGAAAAATGAAAATATATATTAATATGCTTACTTTGAGCTGTAATAACTGTTATCTTTATAAGATCTATAACATTCTTATTATCAGTGAGAATCTGTATCAGAGATATAGTGATGAAGTCAAGCTCAATCATAAGATTTCAAATTCATATTACTTCATGAATCATCTTACTAAGAGTTATATATTCAGTCTTATTAAAACTTAGAGATATACAAGATTACTTTACTGAATATTATAAAATCAGGTTATTTACAAGCTTAAAAATGTAGCTGAATATTGATTTTCTATTATTATTCAAGAGATCAGCTCAATTGAAATCTGAGTAGCTGAAGAGTAGATAGAAATTATCAGAGAAATCAGAAAGAATGAAAAGATTAATAGAAATAAATCTCTCATACAGACTGCATTCATAGAAAATGCTCAGATTCATAATTTCTTTTAAATAATATATAATATATAATAGAGTCTTTCAATATTGAGATGTTAAATCAATGTTCTGTTGAGTGAGTAGTGAGACAGTGTAAGTGATATTAGAACATGTTTTAACTACAAGATATCACAAGCAACTTACATTATACTAATATTACTGAATTATGAAATCAGTCTCTTTCTCAGATATAGAGAAATTATTAATACAGAATTCATTCTTTATTAATGTTCTGATAACAGCTGTATTATCAAGATAGAAATCTTTAATAAGATATTTAATATATTAATAATGTATTAAATCAATTCTCTTATCTAAATAATTGATCTTTATACTTAAAACTTAATTAACTGATATAAATTCTTGACTTTCAATTTCTCACTAAGTATACTCACTAGTTAATCAGCATTCTCAGAAACTTTGAATATAATGTTAAGATTATCAATGTAGATTGTTATATAGAGATGATATCTGAATGTATGATATCAAAGTACTGAATCATAGATACTGACTGTAAATTCAAGATTACTTAACAGAGCTATTAAGTGATTATATCAAATCTTCACTACAGAATTCAGACTGTATAGACTACTCTTAACTATGTAGATAAGTGTTTTCAGTGAATCTGTCTTAAATTCAGTGAATTATCTTATATAGACCTTCTTAGTGAGATGTATATACAGATATATTATTACTATATTCACTTAACAGAGTGTTCAACTATATAGTACTGCTATTGTAAAAAGAATATAATTAATAGTATCAGTGATGACAGAAGTGTAGATCTCTTCTCTAGAACTCTTCTTAAGTTAGTTATTACAAATTATTCAATATGATTTTCTAAGAATATTATCAGAATTGATATTTAAGTTCACAGATCTATCTTTCTTAAGAAATACTTAACAGTCTGAAGTAATTAGTTCATTTCTCAGAATATCAGATCTAGAGATTAAACTTCATATATTGCATCTCTTCAGATCAGTAATCTCATATTATATAAATTTTTTTTAATAATCTTCTATTCTCTCTAACTGTGATGTAATATTCTTGTAGAACTTCAGAAGATTATCTGTAATAAAACTTGAAGTAAATGTAGTCAGTAATTTCACAGGCTGCAATTATATAGAATTTGAATTATCAATGTCAGAAGCATCTTTATCATTAATCAGATATATATCAGGTTCTGATTCAATAACATAATTAATGAGTTTTACAGATGTAATAACTGATTTTTTAGTGATTAGAAATCTCACATCACTACTGATAATAATCTTATCAGATTCAGAATGTTATAAACAATATATCAATATATCACTGAATTTAATAATATAATAGAAATTGACATATGAAGAAAGCTTATCTGCAGGCTTCTGAGATTCATGCAAGTGAATAAAAACCTCTGCACTTAATCAGTGAAAATGCCTCACATTCAGTGAGGTATTTGTAAGTGTATATTAAGAAATCTTATATAAACTTGAAATCATAGAAGTCTCTGCAGTAGAGAGTCAAAATTTCAAGTTGTAAAGAACTGTAGATATAAGAGTATTATTAATTATTATAATTACTGTCTCTAGAACATCTGCTCAGAACTTCTTAGAGAGATTATCTTTTAAAAGAGCAGCTCTAATCTGTTTCATAATAGTGCAGATCTCACATTCAGAAACATCATTCTGATATAATAAATATAATACTGTTAATTTTCATTTAATATTATATGAATTCATAACTGTGTGTATATATATGAATTGAAAAACATTATCAATATTGATGTGTAGAAAAGCAGAGACTGTATATCTGAGATTACTTATAAATCTGAGTTATAACTCGAAGTATTGAACAGTCTCATTCTTGAACTTTAAAAAATATATTCAATAATAGTGAGTCACATCATAGATGATAAGTATTCAGTATTTAATTCTCTGACAGAACTCTAAGAGATGATCAGAGAGATCTTTCAATGTATATTTATCATCTACAAGATTAATATGAACCTTCTCAATGAGTTGAATAGATCTAAATATCAGTGTTTTTAAATAATCTTGTATCATATCTGCTCTGACACATTTCTTATAAAAGAACTTAGTCTTAGAATCTTTAATTGTGACTTCAGTATGAGAATTCTTGACTATAGCAATTATAGTATCAGTGTGAATGTGACTGAGATTGTAATATCAATTTAAAAGAGTCTTTGATATCTTTGATATCTGTGTTCTCACATTTACAGAATTGATGTTATTAACAGTAGTGACAGCAGTCACAGAAAGATCAACTTTTCAGTCAAAATTATACTCATAAGATATTGTGATATACTTGACTGTCTTGTTCAAATAATTGAAATTCTCATTGAACTTCTACTTATTAATCTTATATATGTTGTTCTGAGTGATCTGAACTGTATAAAAAATAACACTGTTCAGAGCTCTACAAATGAAAAATGAGAGAATAGTGAAAGATAATATAAATCAGAATCTCTGATCTTCAAGCTTTGTAAATGAGAGCAGGTTAACTGTAATATTAGAAATATAGTAAATATTCTGTAAGTTAACATCATCACTCTCAATCTTTAAGATGACAGTTTCAATTTTCTTGACAAACTCAGTTTCTTCAGTTGCAGAATTAACAGAGATATTATCATTAAAAGATTTAATATTTGAAAAAGAATAAAGCTCACTCATTATATTCAGACTTGTATATATGTCTAGATATCAAGATCTAGAGAATGATTTTCTAGTGACTGTGAAAGAGAAATAAAACTCAATCTTTATAATTACTGTATTCACTGCTGATTAAGAACTTATTAAATCATTCTTCTTCTCTTTCTTCTTATCATTATTCTTCTTGTTCATCTTCTTTTTCTTTTTATTAGAGTGTAAGATGAAATATCTATTAACAGTATATTCATATCTTCTGCAGTGAGTGCACTTTCATACAGATATGCTTTTATTCTTATCTTTATTCTTATTCTTTTTTACAGTCACAGAATCAGTCTGAGACTGCTTTTTTCACTCAGTGATGATCTTCTTAAATGTATGATTGATCAGTTGCTTTATCAAATTATTAATATTAATATTAATAATGAGTCTCTGATCAGTGAAGAAAAACTTATTCAAATATATCTTAATAAACAGTCTTTGATAATCTTGTAGATTGTTGAGAAAAAGATCATAGTATACATTCTCAGTACTTTGACAGAGCTTCTTATAATGAGTAATAAGATAGCAGAAATATCTCTGAAAAGTAAGATAATCATTATTCTTAACTTATAATTTTATCAATTTCTTGAAGATATTAACTTATTCTTCAATCAGTGATATTATATATTCAACATTAATCTTATCTCACAGAGCTGCAGTATTATCAGCTTTCAAGATTTTAATAGTGATTTAAACATTTTCAATAAGACTCAATAGCATACATCTATATAGAGACTTGAAACAGATTCTTCACTTCTTGAAGTTAATATAATGTGTAAAAGAGAATTCTTGTTAAGTTCTTAATAGAATGTCAGTTTCATCAATAACTTCTGTATCAGTTAATATATCAACACATCAGACTTTATAATTAGAGTCATCAAATATAATCACTGATTTGATGTCTAGTATATATTTGACTTTCTTCTGGTATTTCTGCAACTCCTTTCTCATAGTGTCTCTTTATACAGAGACAGATATAGTGAGATGTTAAGTGATTTCAGTCACAGTTATTTAATTCTATAGTATTATCTGCATGAGATTCATAAGATTGTCTGCAGTGTATTCTTATAATAAGTGATCATTCTATCAATAAGTTGTCTAGTGAAGTGTGTGATTCTGAGCCTTGAGCTGAACTTTGAAGTAACAGATATATCACTTATATCAAGATAACTCTGCTTCTTCTAGGTATAAAAAAAAAAAAAAGTGATATTCTTTACAATGAAGAACACATGTTCTCAAGAATATAAAGTATATAAATCTGCTGACTAGCAGATTCAGGGAAAATGAAATATCTCTAATAAAGAGTGAGAGTCTTTTTAAAAAAGATGAACTATCTGTGTTAAAAATGTTAATACAATGTTCTAAAAAGAAAAATATGTCATTCAGACTCTAACCTGTAGACTACTGAGGTAAAAGAGCTCGATCACCATCAGCGCACTGCTGGTAGAAGAGCCGACCAACCGCGGAACTCTCAACAGAGAGAGCTTCGACTAATTGAGTTATTAGTCTTGAAACTTGAAGACTAACTGTGCCATGCTTACTCACTCTCTGTAGTGAGTGTGTCTAGACTGGCCGCTGGGACCATGAATTTCACATTTGATCCCATTTGATCTGGTCTCATACATTTCTTGGCGTGAATCCCGCTGGGACTGACTATCAAAAAAACATGTAAAGTGACTATATATCAGATCTTAAAATGAAACCATGACTTGAAAAAAATGAGAAAGTGATTTCATTTGATCTCATTTAGTCTCATTCTTAGCATAAAGTTACTATTTTTAGACATTTTAAGGTTTTTTTTAGACTATTTTTAATTTTTTAAAAAGTAACACTTTTTGATAACACTCAAATGAGATTTAAAGTCATTTAAAGCAATAAAAATAATTTAAATTGAGAAGTAGAAATCATGATCTCATTTGAAAAATGTGATAAGAGTAGACAGTAAGTCTCACTGAGACAGTATGAGATCACTATATAATGTTAAAACTGTGTAATGAGATCAGTCAAATTGGTAATAAAACTATCAAAAAATCTAGTCCTGGTCTCAGACACGGTCACACGGTCAGTCTAAGTGTGTCACAGTGTATGAAAAATCACACTGTAAAGAAAATATTTTCAATATCTTCATTCTTCATCTTCAAATAATTATTATTAATTATAATCATGTCAAAATCTTCTAATTACACTGAGAAGCAGTTGTAAAGAGCTGTTGACATGTACAAAAGTAATTCAAAATTAAAAATCATGTCTCTGTCGCGAGAATTCAAAGTCTCATATATCATCTTGTATGAGAGAATTAGACTGGCTGCTGAGACTATGAATTTCACATTTGATCTCATTTAATCTGATCTCATACATTTCTTGACGTGAGTTTCATCAGAATCAAGCCTCAAAAAAATCTGAAAATGAATCATTTCTGAGAAAAATGATGTGAATAATGACCAGATTTAATTCAAGAATAGTGAAATGAGAGTAATTTCTCAGAATAAACTATGAAAGATAATTATTCTTTTAAAATCAGAATGAGACTAAGACTAAAGATTAAAATCAGTCTTATTCAGTTTATTCAGTGATTGCTTATATAATCAGAATTTAATAATAATTAATAATAATACTTATGAAATAACTAAATATATTCTTATACAAGTTTATTCTTTACTTTCTTATAAAAACTACACTTCTCTGATATACTGTGATTAGAGATATTAAACTATCTGATAATTTCATATTTTATAATTATAAGTTTCTTGATTATTTCTTCTTATAATTGTTCTCAGTAATAGTGATAAATATCTCAGCTTGAGTTGAACTTTCACTTCATTCTTATCTCTGTTAAGAAAATTGTCAGAATATTATATATTATCAGTACAACAGTTGAATATATACTCTTAATAATTTTTTATAACTCTAGAATTAATTTGATATATAAATTTATCAGATTATCTTGAAGATAGTAATTAAATTCAGTTTTATAAGTATATAGTTTTATCTAATTTTCAGTTATAATTAATGTATATAAGTTTTATTTCAAAGTTAGTATTATAGTTCTATATAATATGAAGTGTTATTGAAGATTGTTACTTACTAAAGAATTATATTTCACTATTTTTATATCTTGAACATCTGTTTATTTAAATCTCTGATAGTTGATATTATAGTAGTCTTAGATTAATTTAATATATAAGTCTTATTTCTTCTCTATTCAATCTTGAGAAGTGTAGATATTAACTTGATAAGAGAGATCTAGTAGAGTTACTATAGTATAGTACTCTGTAAAAGATTGTTCAGTTTTACTGTAATAATATATCAGTTTATCTCTTACAGTAATAATAGTCTGTGCTATAATATTATCTCAGACTGAATTTCTTTTTGAGTGATTTAACTGCTTCTTAAGATGAATAAATAAACTGTTATATACTTATCAGACTGACTGCAGTATTGATGTATAAGTGATTGAAACTGTCTTTATTATCTTATAAAACTGAAACAGTAAATTAATTATATATTTCAACTGAGTTCACTTTATATCAGAAAGTTTCAATATCTAAATCTTTTTCTAATCAGAGTGTTATACTTAATAATTAATTATCTGATATAATTGAAGAGTCTGAATAGTTATCTTATATATTGAACTTCACTGTATTCTAATATTCTGTATGATATTCAGTGATATAACTGATTTGTTTATTTATTAAATATCATAAAATTATTATTATTGTTTAAAGAAGATATAAATTATATTAATAATGTTTCAAATCTGTGATATTTAAATTATTAGTTAATCTATTCAAAATTAACAGTAGTATTATCAAAAAGTATTATTAAAAAATAATATTAAAAAGTGTTGTTAAAAAACATTATCTTTTATAAAGTAAATATAAAAGTTATTTAAGTAATTACTTTTATCTTATTCTTATTTCAAGAATCAGTCATCTTATTATTCTTTATCTTAATATTAAGATTCTTTATCAGTGTTTATATTACAAGTTAAATCACATAAGTAATATAGAAGATATAATCTTATTTATTATTTTAGAAATACAAAGTCAATTTTTACTTTAAGCTCTTTATCATAGTGTAGTTATTCACAGCATTATCAGTTGTAATTATAAGAAGACTGAGACTAATATTTTAATAGTTATTTTTAATTATAGTTATTAATATCTCTGTTATATAATTCTCAGTATGACTACTGATCAATGATTTAAATTCAATTCATGTCTCTTAATAAGTGCAGTTCTCATCAATATACTAATATATAACTCTTATAAATATAAGATTGTTTATACTAGTTTATACATTCACTGTAAGAGATACTTTTCAATGATTCTTCAACTCTGATTCTAGATATTATATATTGACTTTATAGTGTATCTCAAGATTGAACTGAAGACAGAATTGATATAAAATATAAAGATTTAAATTAAGCATTTAAAGAAGTGTTCAGAATTCAGAATTTTCAATTAATTAAAGAGAAAGATTCAGAGATATATATATATAAAGTAATTATTTATAAAAGTTATTAGATAAGAGTTATGAAATCAGAGTACTGATACAGAGTTATTTTCACATGATTTTCTTCAAATTAGAAAGTTAGTATTATCAAAAATTATTATCTGATAGAGTAACTTATCAGCTCAGTAGTAATTTTCTGATTATTTTTCTTTTATTATCTATATTCTGATGACTTCAGATGTTAAGAAATTTCTTCAGATCTATAATTAGTTTATAATAAATATTTCTAAATAAAGTTATAGTGATTATAGTAAAGAGATGACTCTTTAGTAATCTATAATATAATCTATTGATAATTATTTCATAGTTCATCTTAATATTTGTATTGAGTTTTTCATAAATTTCATAATCTGAAATCAGATATGAAGAATGAAGTAATTATTCATTATAATTAAAAGAGAGTATTCTGTGTTGAATTATAAGTTGTCAGGTCACGTGATCTGGCTTACTAATTCTTTCATCATATAACTTTCCATAAGCTAGCAACCTTTCAATCACACAAGCTTTACACCTTCCACAGGTTATGAGACTTGTTTTGTGCAAAAATCACTGCCAATTCGGGATTCCTTGTCAATATAATCTATTTGAACTACTGCTTCATTTGATACGCCCATCAGGAGTTAAAATTGTCTTATTCTATCAGTATTGATGTGTTTGAGATCTTGATGATCAATAATACTACTGCTCACTTAAAAAAGAGGCTTGCAGAAAACACACCACATTTGCAAAAAAGCAAGAAAAGAGAATGATATTGGCAAGGATTCAATAAATGAATATCAAGATGGTGGATTCAATACAATCTCGCCCACACACACATTCGCGATCTCATGTCCTTTCCACTGGATCAGTTGCAGTTGATGATGATGATTCTTCACACTCACGCTCTGCCAGTGAACATCCTTCTGGAGCCTTTGAAAGTTTCACTGATGAACATCCTCCTGGAGCCTTTGAAAGCTCCATTGTCAAAACACCCTCTCGATTCGAAGCTGGTTTGAATACAGCTCCTGACACGGTCAGGCCGGCCCCCCGATCTACTCGACAGCTTGATGAAGCTGGTTCTCATGAATTCAACAGTTTGAGCGAGGCAATATCAGACCAACAGATGGAACATCTCAAGATGATACTTGAGATGGACAAGAGAAAGCAAAGAGTCTTAGAACTCGAACTACAACTGGAAAAACTCTGTCAACAGAGATTCTCTACAGATTGATCACAGAATGTCAACAATCATCCTGCCACCACATCAACAGCCACATGGAATCCTAATCTCAGTGAAAGATTGGAATTCAACCTTTATGAATCAGATAGCTGTGTTGGCAAGGCAATCTCTCAATTCAAGAAAGATGTCAAGAATACTGTGAGATTAAACAGTCTAACTGACACATTCAATTACACCACATGAAGCATCTTCATGAAATTGAAACTGATTGATGCACAGTGCTGGTATATGATAGAGAAACAACAGACTCAGAACCCTCTACAAAAAGATGATGAATGAGCATCATTCTGGGACGCCAGAAACCGGTGGCTCTACACATTCATCTCGAACTCCTTGGGTGCAGGTGTCAGATCATGTTTCTCCAAATATGATGAAAATCGGATCACTTATACCCTATGGAATGCGATTGAACAGGAATACTCTGTCCTCAAAACACAGTTATGCCGTGAGGCAGTTCTGGAATTCATGTCTCTTGATGACACACAGGTCACCAATCTACATACATTCTTCAATAAGTTCCAGTCCACCATCACGAAATTGGAGATGTTGAATGCCTTCCCTTCAGATGTGTGAATATTTGATACCTTCTACTCAGTTCTATCCAACAATTGGAGGAATTATGTTCAGAAGAAGATAGAGGAGATACAGGATTCCAAATCCACAGCTGTGGTATTGAATGTTGATCTTCTCATGGAGGAAATCTGTTCACAGCTTGATCCTCCAAAAGATAAAAAGAATCTGCAGAATATAGATTCTGCGGCCAACACAGCTACAACAGCTACAACAGATACAATGACTACTACACCTACCAATTCAAACAACAATACATCGAATCCGGACCGTGGAGGCCGTACTGAACGTGGTTGTGGCAGTTCACAAGAGGGCTTCTGAAACCATCAGAGATTGGGAAATCCACCTACATGTCCTGATTGTGAGAGATCTCACTTTGGCACCTGTTGATTGGTCAATTCAGACAGTGCTCCAGATAATTGAAGGATCTACAACACTGCAAGGATAAAGGAATTCAAAGAAAAGAAGGAAAAGAATAGTGAGGGTAAAACCCAACTATTCATTACAGATGAATCAGAGACCTATCAGATGACAAACCTCACAGAGGTTATCAATATGCCAGACTGTTTCATGGAACCTCACAAGGATCTCTTCAATGGGTGTTTATACATATCAAAAGACATCATCTTCCAGAAGGACCTTCATCTTGCTGATTCATTGATACTGACTACTTCACACAACCTGAAGGTTCTACTCAATGCGGCTCATAAAGCGGCTGCAGTGATTCCTTCAGTGACATCAGGCCTACTGACTGCAGCCTGTCAAGAGACTGCAGCAATTTCTGATTCATCAATTGATAATCTATTCATTGATGAGGAAATTCGACCTGAGTGTTCATTATTTCTTATACTCACTAATAATTGATGGATTGACTATGATATCTCTGCAAGAATATCTACTCTTTTAGTGCAGAATACACTGAACTTCTCAGAACTCACAGTTGAATCTGATGATTCTTCAACATCTATAAGAAATATCACTATAGTGAGAAAAGCTTCAGTGAGGAACAGTCTTAAAGACCTACTCACTGATCTCAAGATTACTGCACTTCTGATTCTGAAAAACCTCACACATGTCAAAGCTTTCATGGAATGAAAGTATTATTACAAGGCCTGTGTTAAAGAGATCAACTGTTTGAAATATATGTGTTGAAAAGAGAATATAAAGAAGATAGAGGAATAGAGAAATAAAAAATAATGTATATTATGACTGATTTTTCATTGCTACACATTTTCCAGTCATTTTTTATATCTGTACTTGATTTGAAGGCGAATTTTGTATATAGCATTGTGTATAGTTACTCTGGTGAGTGAGGATGTCAGGTCATGTGATCTGGCTTACTAATCCTTTCACTATATAACTTTTCACAAGCTAGTAATCTTTCAATCACATAAGCTTTACATCTTTCACATAAATAATATAGACTTTATAATTTATAGTGATTTCTTAAAGAGTTTATGAATCTTCAATAGAAGTAAAAGAAGTGAAAGAAGTGAATTCAGAAGATATAATAATAATTTAAAAAAGATGATAATTTATTTTTAATAACTAATCACTGATGTGTGTAAGAAGAATTAATATAAGAGAAAATAATCTTATTTCTTTTTTTTCTTAGCTTAGTTATAATTTTAGTACTAACTCAGATTGAATATTATCAATATATAAAAGTAAATAAATAATCTTAATTAATCTCTGTTATATTTCTTGAAATATATTAATATTGTGAAAGAGAGTATTACTAAATTATATTATTAGATAATATTATTAAAAATATATTAATATTATAAATATTAATGTTGAAAAAATGTTAATACTTATACATTATAGTGATTTGTGAATCATGATAGTTAAATATATATATAAATATATATATTATTTCTGATTTGATTATAACTTGTATAATAATTTTTAAAAACTCAAAATTAATTTCAATTATTAATAATTATGAACTTATAACTAACTAATATAAAAAGAAAAAAACTTTTTCTACTTATTATCTTTCTACTCTTTCTCATTCTTCTTATTATTCTTTATAATTTACTTCTTATTCTTCTTCTTCTTCTTCTTCTTCTTATCTGAGATAATAATCATCTTAAAATCTCTCTCTACTGTCTTCTTAGAGAAGAGTTTCTGCTACTCTCTCTCAGCTAGATTAATCTATATCTTAAAATTCTGTATTTTCTGATCTGCTGTCTCAGATTTCATCTCAGTAATAAGCAGATTAACATTATTATTATTATTATTATTATTATTATTCTTTTATTATACTCATATGCAAGCGGAGCTTATAATGAGTCCTTGCGTGATGTTAAATACAGGCCAAGTGTTGATTATACAGAAGGAAATACAGGTGTTGAGACCACGCTAAGATAACAACTTAACAAGAACATAGAAAATACAAAGAAGTGACAATTAGATACATGCGAGAATAACTTCCCAGCTCAGAAACATAGAGCAATTTTATTAAAGTGATTTGTACACCTCTGTATTTATTAGAAACCTGAGGTGCTTGAGTTCTGGATTTAATGTATTCTCTGCGGGTTTCAAACCCACACATCTTGATTTCTCATGTCAAGGCACTATCAGATGGCTGCATTAATCATTCAGCCACCGGGGCTAAGCAGATTAACATACTCAGAGAGTAGAACTGTCTTCTTAATATTCTGAATTATAAAGTATATTCAAGATCTGAATAAGATCTTAATTCTCTTCTTCTCTGTTAGCTTCTGCTAATCAATTAAAGAATAGAAGTATTATTAAAAAATTATTATCTCTTAATAAATAAAAAACTTACTAGTTTTATAATATTATCTTCATTTAATACATGCACTGTTGATATTCTTTATATACAGTTATTATATAATCTGTATCAGAGATACATATAGAAAACAGATCTTTATTACTAGAATAAATAATTGCAGCAATTCTCTATTTTTATATTATAAAGATAAGTTATTCTTGCCCCGGTGGCTGAATAATTAATGCAGTCACTCAGTAGCGCCTTGGCATGAAAAACCAAGATATGTGGGTTTGAAACCCGCAGGGGATACATTAAAATCCGGAACTCAAGCACCTCAGATTTCTAATAAATACAGAGGTGTACAAATCACTTTAATAAAATCACTCTATGTTTCTGAGCTGAGAAGTTATTATTGCATGTATCTAATTGTCACTTCTTTGTATTTCCTATGTTCTTGTTATCTTATAGTTTTAATATCTTAATATTCAATAGATTCTGCAAGGGATTGAGAACAGCAACACTAGATTTCTATTGAATTTGAGAATTAACTCTATATTGATATAATCATTGACAAAGTCTTCTATTTTGAGATATAAATAACCAGTTCCTCTACATCCTGCTGACAATATTTATATTATTATATAGAAACAGACTTATATTCTCTATAATATCAAGACTCTGAAGAGAGAAAGTCTTGATAGAGAGTATACAGTAGTATATATCTTAGCAGTTTTCATCTCATTCTTCTGCAGCAGTTAGTGTAAAAAAAAAGATCTTAGAAATAGTTTTTTACTTCTCTTGAAAAAGTAAGATGTTTTTCTCTGAGTTTTATACAATATTCTTACAAAGAATTAAAAACAGAGCTGTTTTCTGTCATAATTTCATATTCTTTTAAGTAAGAATTACTTTTTCAGTGGCTGAAGAGCTTTCATTAATACTTAATTCTTTTTTACACTCTTTATTAACTGATTTGAGTTGCACACTTGTTGTGTGAGAAGAATTGAATAATTTAGAATAAAATTGAATAGTTTTAATCACTTTCTTGACAAAAAATTGATTTATTTTTTGTCAGTTTTTCTCTCAAAAACTGTCATATTATCTGATTTATTATCAATTGATATCATACTTTTTCTCACTGTATCCCAAGAAAGAGATTGTAAAGATTTTATTAATTTATCTTAAAAATCAATTTTAGTTTATTAGATTCTCTTCAAAAATCTAACCTAGTTACTGAACTAGTGTGAAAAAAATCAGGTGTTTTATACACAAAAGTCTTTTATTCTTCTTTTGAAACAGTCTAATCAACTTTTCAATTGAAAACAGACTTAGAAACCTCTTAATTGAAAAAGTCTGATCAACTTTTCAAAAGAGTTCAATACATATCTTAATTGAAACAGTCTGATCAACTTTTCATTGAGTGAGAACAATGAGTTCAAAAATACACTCAGTTGATGTGGAAAAAAATGCTTTCTTAAATACTATTTCTGAGATTGAAATTCTGAAGAGAAGAAAGAAAGAAGAAATAGAGAAATAACAAGTTCTTGAAATACAGAAACTTGAAAAAGCAAGCAAGATTCTTGAAAAGCAGTGTCTGAGTGAGATAAATAAAGAAGTTCTGTTAATTCTTCATGCTCAGAATAGACAACTACAGAAGATGATCAAGTTCAAACTCAGAATTTCAAACACAGTTCAAAAAACATTGAAAATT